ATTGGATGAGATTAAGGACGATAGCCAACTTGCTGATCTTGGCATCGACTCTTTGATGGGTATGGAGATGGCGCACGAGATCGAGGCGGCTTTCAAGGTCACGCTGCCTGAAAGTGAGCTTATGGAGATTGTCGATATGCCTGGCTTGATAAAATGTGTGCAGAAAGCAGTAGGTGGAGAAGCCGCCAGCGAGACGAGCGATCAAAGCGAAGATGATACTTCCAGCGACAGTGATGCTAGATCGTATAGCATCAGTGAAGCATCGTCGGGGCATCCAACCGGTGTGACAACTCCGGCAGCTGATTACGAAAAGGATTCATACGACGTTCTTAGTGCTTGTGATAACGGACTGAAGCTTCCTTTCGCCACGGTTATGGAGGCTTTCGGTGAAGTGAAAGCTCTTACAGACGACAAAATCGCCGAACACGGGCAGGCCAACTATTTTGACACGGTGATGCCATTGCAGACAGATATGTGCGTCGCACTCACACTCGAGGCACTCGATCAGCTCGGACAACGTCTTCGCGAGGCGAAACCAGGAGATAAATTCCCTCGGATCTCCCATCCGAAGGAGCATGGCCGTTTAGTCGACTATCTCTACCTAATGCTGGAGAAGGAGGCTCACATTATCAATGTCAACGGCGACACTATTACCAGAACTGCCACGGAAGCGCCAGCAAGGCCGAGTAAGGAGATTCTGCAGGAGTTGCTATCACGCTTCCCCGATCAGTCGACAGCCGATAAACTTACATTTTACACCGGATCAAATCTCGCAGACGTCCTCAGAGGAAAGACCGACGGTATCAAGTTGATCTTTGGTAGTACCGAGGGGCGTGACCTCGTCTCTGGCTTGTACGCAGAATGGCCTATAAATCGGTTGTTCTACAAACAGATGGAGGACTTTCTCTCAAGACTCTGCTCGAAGCTTGATATGAATGAGGGCCCGCTTAAGATCCTTGAGATGGGAGCAGGTACTGGAGGTACAACTAAGTGGCTCGTCCCCCTCTTAGCCTCATTGAACGTGCCAGTCGAGTATACATTTACCGATCTTGCACCATCATTCGTGGCCGCCGCACGAAAGAAGTTCAAGCATTACCCGTTCATGAAGTTTAGAGCTCACGATATCGAACAGGCGCCGGCCGACGATCTAATTGGAACCCAGCACATCGTTATTGCCAGCAATGCTGTTCATGCCACACATTCTCTAGCTGTTTCCGGAAAGAACATCCGCAAAGCACTACGACCTGACGGGTTCCTTATGATGCTTGAGATGACTGGTACATTATACTGGGTCGACATGATCTTTGGATTATTCGAGGGCTGGTGGTACTTTGACGACGGGCGCACTCATGCCGTCACACACGAGCTTAGGTGGGAGAAGGATCTGCAAGCCGTTGGTTACGGACACGTCGACTGGACGGATGGAGAGCGACCAGAAAATAGATGCGAGAAGCTGATTATCGCGATGGCTTCGGGTGAGAGGTGCGAACGACCCCCAATTCCCTCTCTACCTATTAAGAGTCTATCAGCTGACCTCGTGGAACGACAGACAGTAGTCGATAGGTACGTTCGGAACTTAACAGATGGCTTCTCTGCTGGCCTCGATGATGCATCGTGGTCCCGTACCTCGAAAACGAGTCCTAGCGGGAAAACGGTGCTGATTACGGGCGCGACTGGTAGCTTGGGAGCACACTTAGTTGCCCAATTTGTAGAATTAGCAGACGTCACTCGCGTTGTCTGCTTAAACCGACGCAGCAGAACCGACCCGGAAGAGCGCCAGAAACAATCCCTCGCCAATAAGGGCATCTCTTTATCCGACAGAGCTATGAGTAAGCTAAGCGTCTTCGAGACAGATTTGTCAAAACCCAATCTCGGCCTGCCTGTCGAGGACTACAAAAGTCTTGTCGATAGCGTCACTCATATTGTCCACAATGCGTGGCTTATGAATGCGAAGTGGCCGCTTCGCAATTTTGAGGGGCAGTTCCAAATCATGAAAAATCTCCTTAACCTTTCTCGCGAAATTTCTATTCAGCGCGCTCCGGGTACCAAAGTCACCTTCCAATTTATTTCCTCCATCGCTACTGTTGGTCACCGACCTATCTGGTCAGGCGAGCCAATAGTCCCCGAGGAGCGCATGACGATCGAGTCGGTGTTGCCTACAGGATACGGCGATGCCAAATACATCTGCGAGCTCATGCTTGATGAGACGCTACACAAGCATCCTGATCGTTTCCGCGCTATGGTCGTCCGACCAGGGCAAATATCAGGTTCGAGTATAAGTGGTTACTGGAATACTATGGAGCATTTTTCCTTTTTGATTAAGTCTTCTCAGACGCTGAAAGCGCTACCGGATTTTGATGGCCTACTATCTTGGACACCGGTTGACGAGGTCGCTGGCACGCTTGCTGATCTTGTTCTTCTCTCCGAAGATAAGACGCATAACCCTATATACCATGTTGATAACCCGGTTCGTCAACCATGGAAGGAGATGACTCCCATATTAGCTGATGCTTTGAACATACCACAACAAGATATAATTCCTTTCAGAGAGTGGGTGCAACGCGTCCGGGAACACCCCAGACAAGTTGAGGGACCCGAGGGCGAGAACCCGGCATTCTTATTGATCGATTTCCTAGACGATAATTTCTTCCGCATGTCCTGCGGTGGCCTCTTACTTGATACTGTTGAAGCTCGAGAGCACTCGAAAACTTTGGCGAATACGGGGCCTGTTTGTGAAAGTGTAACCAGGGGATATATTCAGAGCTGGAAGGATATGGGTTTCCTAAGTCAATGAAATGATTTCTCATGTAAGAGCTGGCGCTCTAGATATTGTAAAATACTACATAATTTATGGTTTCATGCCTTATTTCGCTTTCGTGTCTTTCGTAAAATCGTGACTTGCACCGTCTGGTGTAAATAAACTGTTGTTGCATGAAATTAAGCGGACAGGCGGATTTCCATTTAACGTCCGAAATCCCCACTCATTACCTACACGCAGGTACGAAAGATACCTTAATACCTGTACCCTGTCCCTTACATAGGTACCTAGGTACACATGTACCTACCTAAGGAAGAAGTATCTAACATGTACCTACCCTGCATTTACCTCGTCACGTGAAGCAAACTATCTCGTGCATTTTCCTCGGCATTCAGGCAATCACAGCTGAGGTTGATCTTCGGCAATAGCTACCCCCACCTTCGCAGCTTAAGTAATTCGGTTGATTGGGTGACGCGGATTTGCGATTTTTGATTGACAGCACGCTGAGCCATCGCCGCGCCAGCGACATCAATTTCCATTTTCTTCCTTGACCAAAATAAAAATCCACAAGTCAAACGTCCCATTCTATCCCGCTGTTTCCGCAACCCAATACTCAACTTCTACCGTTCCTTCGTCCCAAAAGTCCTCTTGCATCATTTATATTTCTCTTTCCGAGACGTTTTTTCGTGTCTTTCGTACTAATTAACCCCTATACCTGAGTAGACATGGGTGAATCTCGGTGAGTGATGACCTCACATATATTAGGCGCCCTCAAGTCCTAAAATAATAGCTACCAACTGACACTCCATCACTCCTATATAGACAAGAGCTGGTAGCATGGCTGAACAGCCTTCTTCAGCTGAACATCACCAAAGTTGAACAATGTGGTACTGGGTAAGAATATCCTTGCGCTTTAATATTTACCCCTCCCCCGCCAAACAATGCCCAAGCTATATAGGAGAGGAAAACAATCGGTCATAACCTTGCTATGAGTGGTGTTGGATGTTACCAACGCAAGATTTGAGCTAACCTTATATCCCTTGACTTTTACAGTGCCGCTCTCTGCCAGGTCTTCGACAGCATCTTCCTCGATGTACCCATGTCGCGTGTCAAATTTAATGTCAACACCGAATACGCCTACATCCAGAACTTCAAGGTCTTGCAAAGTTAGTTTTCCCCTTCTTCTACCTCGGCTATTTTTCGGCCAGCATCGTATCTAAAGACTGCTATTATCACGGAGCCATTCATGTACTAATTTGCCTTGTTTCTAGACACATTCGCCAAGCACAATGTCGACAAGCCCATCCCTGTCGAAGCCCTCTCCAAATGCAAGATGCAAGATAACCTTGAGTTCTTACAATGGACCAAGCGATTCTGGGACCAGTATTATCCCGGCGGAGACTATGATGCTGTCGGACGAAGAAAGGGTGCTCCCCTTCCTGCCGGTGGCGCTGCTGCGCGAGCCACTGGGGGCGCCGGATCAGCTGCGGCACGAAGAGGTGGTACAACTCCCACAACCGGACCCCGCGTACCCAAGGCTGGTGGCGGTGGTGCCGCTTCAGCTGCCCTGATCCAAGAGAACGCGACATTGAAGGAGACGGTTGTCGGCCTCGAGCGCGAGCGAGACTTCTATTTCAGCAAATTACGAGATATAGAGCTCTTGATTCAACAGGCTGTCGACGAAGACCCCGAGATCGAGAAGCAGGAAGATGGACTCATCAAACAGATCCAGACGATACTATACTCGACTGAGGAAGGCTTCGAGATCCCCGCCGAAGGAGAGGCACTGGACGACCAGGAAACGTTCTAAAACCTGCAAGAGTGACAAAACAACAAAGCGATAAATAGCCATCGGCTAGGAGGTCGGTAGATGGCCATGAATTAATATTGGAGTGGCTGGTATGGTGAGCCAAAATGGACAAGACGATGCGGGTGCTGAAGAAGAGATGCATCTAGAATGGTGTCATTGAGAAGCCCTCGGGTCTCTTATTCAGTTTGCATCATCACATCACAGGAATGGGATTCCGGATTCCTGACAGTACTAGAAGACATTGTCCACTCTAGACTAATATACCCTCTTGACTCAAGGGTGTGATGCCTAGAGATTTGACGATAGATATTAACAGACTTTTTTTTCTTATGGAAGGTATTGTTCACGTATTTGTTCACCTAATTACATACTTCATTTCGTACCTACCTAATCTAGTAGTATTCCTATAGTTATACTTTATTCTAAGTTGCGACCACTCCCCCCCTATAATAAGGTTGCCTAGCTGCATATCTCGGCCAACCTCGTAATAGGTACCTGTCAGAAATTTTTGCGACTTCCCTGAGAAACGCGATTACTGTGAATTTCTTGTGATTGGAGAGTTCTGCCTAAGGTTGTTCTTCCTGTTAACAACTTTCTATAACATTATTACGATATATTTCTACTACATACATAGGTAGGGATCTGTTCTTCCACAATTACGGAAAAAAAAAAACCTTGGCTATAAGTTTTTAAGCATCATCCTTTTCAACTGCTCGATGGATCGCAACGTGTGACATCACCATTAGCACCGTCGCTACGATGGCGCCGACAAGTTACCCCAAATGCACGAATGACGCCGAAGCTCGCAAGCCTGTAGCACTTGCGCCTGTGGCCAAACATGCTTTGCAAAAGAATACCCATTCGCAGCGAAGTTCTTTGCGTAGAGCCGTTCGAGAAAGTCTGCTTGACTTATCAGCCGTAGCAACTGTCACTACTCCTCCCCCTAGTTCTCGGGCACTATTTCTCCCTTCGCCGTCATCAGCACCATCTACCTCAACATCGCGCGTTAGCACCGCTACGCAGCGAAGCTCTTTGCGTCGAGCACTTAAAGAAAGCTTGCGTGATGTGGCCGCTATCAGTACCGTCGCCACGATAACAACCACTCCCCCGCCAACCCTATCGCCACCACCGCTAATAACTCCTAAGTTCAAAAGCTCTGCTCCATCGTCACTATATTCGCTAGAAAACACGCCGGAAACGCCTGTGTCACATTCCTCGATATCACCGCTGAATTCTACTGCCAGATCATCGCCTGATTCGACTTCAACTCCCACTCCCACTTTCCTCTCTCCATTGCAGAGTAACAGGAAGTCCACGATATTGCAGGAACAGCACCTAGGGCGGCTAGGAAGAAAGCTCGAGTGTTTAGATACCAAGGAAAGCGACGGTCCAGGACACACCGGGACTGATAACGGAGATGAGCAAAGTGAACATCCAGAAGTGGTGGACAAGACTGATATCAACGGCATCCCTACATCCCGCAAGGGCTGGTATCGCGTACAGTCCATCATCGCTGAGGCTCACGACCGAAGCGGCCATCTCATCTACTTCGTCGACTGGGAGAGCCATGACTCTCGCACTGGAATCGGCTGGCCAGGATCCTGGGTATGTTTACTTTTATCTACCAGACTTCGATTTCCCTTTGCTCGGGCATTTCCAATAAACCTAGCTGATAATAAACAATAAGATAAAAACTAACGCAGATATAATATTTAGGTTAATTCGAAGAATGTCTCGAAAGCTGCAATTCGTGAGTGGCAGGACAAGCGGATCAAATAGGATCCTTATAAGAAGATGGTCTTATAATGACTAGGAAGCAAGAAGAGCGAGGGGACAAACCAATGCGGTAGCCTACTTGCACTATCACCAAACAATGCCCGCTTCGATTATGCTATCCGTATCTTGCTTACTAGCCAACCATCGAAGCCTGAACCCGAGATACAATGAGAGGGAGGATTTATCAAGACGAAATTTTACTACGTATCTCCGAGTAGCCAGAAACTTTGCATTTCTTAGTCGAACGGACTAAATCAGTTAGCATACAAGATACTGCTAACGCATGTAAGATCATGTATATAAAAAGGACCAGGAGAAATATTCGCCGATAAACTGGCAAAATTATTAAACCATGTGTACTAAATAATTGTGACTGTTTCTACCAGACCGAAAGGCTTTTACGCGCACATGCGACAATAGGTTGCTACCTTTAATGCCAGCTCAGGGGCTATAGCCCATACCCAACCCACCAATGAAAAGGGTTGTTTCTACTCCGAAAATCCCCTACGAGACGATATTGATAATGGTCTTTATCAGAAACTACGTGTCGCCAATGTAGAATCCAGCGCGTCTTAGATTAGGTCACATCCTACCAGTGCGTGGCCGTTGCATGATAATGGCAACTCATCGGGGGTAAGACGAAGGGGTTGAAGACTCCTTAGACAGCTTCCTGCTGGATATCTATACAATGGAGTCATATATATCCCGAGACCCAAGCGATGCATTTGCCTTCATATGCGGAGTTGTGAGACATCTGGATGGATTATCAGGATTGCACCCTCTAAAGCATAATATAGATATTTCCTACAGCCTGAAGTATTCCCGCCTGCAGGATGTTTACCAATATTTCAAGCCTGATATGATAATAGCTAACTTCTTTGTAAACCCTGTCGTCAGAGACATGAGGAATCAGACTGGGATCTCCATTGCCACTATCTAGCCTCAGACGCCCTATGCCATGGTGTGAGTTTCGTATATTACAGTCAGTTATCCCTTAGTTTATAGTAGACACCTTCGCAAACGAACGTGCCTCGCAAAAGTTTGCTCTGCCTGCCAGCCTCATTAGGAAAACTATAAGGGATATCCACATCATCTAAGAATTGTTCTCATTGGCGGGACGTAAACTATCGGTTTCCTGATCCGGTCGTGACACACCGCTCCCGCAAACTTCCCCAGTAAGATACCTAGGTCGCAGATCCAACTCAAACTCAGACCCGCACTCCCGAATTCGTATATAACTCAGTGTCGTTTGTTCGCGCAACGTCCTGTTGTTAGTGCAGCCCACGCGGCCATGGACTCGGATTCCGACTACAATTCGTGGAAATACCTACCGTTCGAGCTGGGGGAATGCGAAGACCTCGAGAATTATGAGCCGGGAGGCTTCCATTCGGTGCACCTCGGTGATGTGTATGATGAACGCTACCGAGTCGTCCACAAGCTCGGGTTTGGCGGTTTCTCCACCGTCTGGCTTGCTCGAGAAACCCTCACGAATCGATGGGTCGCCTTGAAGATCGTTGCCGCTAGAGATTCGTCTACGTACGAAGACCGTTCTGTAATCGCAAGCCACCCCAGCATCGCCGGGTCCCGTCTTTTTATCACGGTTGACCGGCAATTCTGGATCGACGGTCCAAATGGCCGACATCTTTGTCTCGTATTTCCGGTTCTGGGCCCGGATTTGTCTAGGCTTTCTAAGGGCATCTACTCGAGAGTAAAACCAATGTTTGCCAGAGAGGTGTCTCTCCGGGCAGCTCGGGCTCTTGTACAGTTGCACTCAAACGGGCTTTGCCACGGAGGTAGGTCAATCACTTACCCCGGTTGGACACACGAAAATTCAGGTGATAACCTAGTAAGACTTCACTGCGAGCAACATAGCGTTACGCCTCATTAACGAGTTTGACTCGTACGAGGAGGGTCACCTGTTTGAACTTTTCGGAAGTCCTCAAACCGCGCCCCTCCGAACCTACTCCGAGGATCCCCCAGGGCCTCACGGGCCCGAATACATGGTGGTCCCCTTAGACTTCTGCTCTTCTGCCACCAACGTGCTCAGCAGCGAGATATGCATCATCGATTTCGACCAATCATTCATAATTACAGACCCGCCACTAGAACGGCCTGGGATACCGGCGAAGTACCTGGCACCGGAAGTCGCGGTCGGACGACCCGCAAGCCCGGCATCGGACATCTGGGCCCTGGGATGCGCCATCTTTCGGATCCGGTCGGGCGACGACCTCTTCTTTGACTATGACACTGATACCCCGGCCGACGCGCTTAGGCAGATTGTTAAAACCCTAGGCGAGCTTCCCGAAGAGTGGAGGCAGACGAAGTTTGACGAGGAGGGGGTTGCCGTTGTAGACGGGGAGGGCGAGCTATTCTGGAATTTTGAAGAAACACAGCCGTTGAAGGACCGGGCACGAGGTATTATTGATGAGCCACCTAGCCTGTTCATAAACCGCCTAGGGGAGGCGGTTAACCCCACGGATCAGAAGCCGGGGGCTGCCATGTTCGACGATGATGCTGCGCTTAGGGAACCCTACTCACCCGCGTTAAGCTCGATCGTATGGAAACCAACGGCGGTGTGTGTTGCCGGGACCTACTTTATAGCGTACTCGGATGAGTTGGATGGTATACTCGAAGCATTCCCAAGGATATCAGAACCTGAGGCGTCGTTGCTAGTCGACCTCTTATCAAAAGTCTTTACGTATGATCCGGTGACGCGACTCAAAGCGGAAGAGTTGGCTACGCACCCTTGGTTTCATTTTACTGCGGCATCTGAAATAGAGACCGATCCAAAACAACTCGGTAATATATGTGAAGAGATTCTAATAGAATAAAATAAATTTAAACTCTACCATTAAACTGCTTCGGCTGCTTTTTAAGCGCGCTTTTTACTCAGTCGATGTTTATAGTATTCCAACTAACATGTTAAATATCTCTATAGTTATAAAACTTCTTATAACCCATTTATTCCATTTTAGGTCCGGTTTAAAAATATGTGTGTTCATTCGTGATTCGCGATTGCGTATGTACACAGTAAAAGATCCTCCCCATGGGGATCTTGATATCGAGGCTTGGCAAGATGGCTACCCCAGAACTGACAATTCAACAACAAGGAGCAAAATTTCGCTCATTAGCTAATCCACAATTCGGGAAAGTCGTTTTCATTAGTACTCCTCCTGTTAAGTTACGCAGTCCCAGTGGTCTGGATGAATGCAGCTAGTGTATAGGTATAGGGGTATATTCTCTCTGTTAAGCTCGTTGGACCAGTGAAGATGAGGACAAACAGTTGCGTTCCATGGTACCATTCAGAACGAATGCTACGCTAGACCAGCAGTACGAATACGGAGCAGAAACATATAATAAGCACGATTATATCTAGCTAGAGACCATCTCATTTTCCAGCCCGTATATGCACTGCGATGTACCTACCTATATGTGTCCAACCGCAGCTAAAAGTAGTGGTGGCAGGCTGCGAGGTGACCTTTCTAATCTGTGAGTCTGTCACATTGTGCCAATAACCGGAGAGTCATGGATTCGGTTGGAAGAAGGTCGATGGAAGCGAGAATGGAAGATTCCCCTTTTAGACGACTGGGATCCCGAGGGTCCATTCATCCATTCCTTATTTTCTTTTCCGTTCTCTCTTTTTATTATTGTACTCCTTTTCTGGCCGCGTGACCTTTGAAATTTTACCCTCTTGAAAGTGATGCTGACGACTAACATGCTGACGATTGGCTCCTTCGGGAAGAACCTAATAGCAATTCATCAATTAGTTTAGAATTAGTAGAGATTCAATAATATAGTAAGTAGGTACTCTTATTCTCTCAATTCGCTCTGGCTAATATACCTCAATTGATTCTAATGTATAACCTAGAGTAAAGACATTGGAAATGGGGGATAATATAAAAGCATGTATGTAGTATTAACATCCCCGCTCTTTGTTCCTTTCAAACGATGCTCCCCGTTCCCCATCACCCCAGATCTTTCCCATGCCCATTTATACCCTAGAGCCTGGGCATGAGTTCAATTTAGTGCTATCCTGGCTTTGATACATCGTTGAGCTTGAGCGTATTCTCGATGTTAGTTGTTGATTCGCCAAACCCTAGAGCGCCAGAAACAACTGAGGTCTGGGTCATAAGGGAATAAGAAACGTGATCCCCAGACTGCCTACTGTACATATTTCCGTAAGGTACTAACCGAACACATAACTACTATGTACATAGGTTGTTCACCTACACACATACAGTTAACATTAATTTTTATAGAAATAGAAATGTCGATCGTGTTCACATTTGCACTTGATTTAATTGGCTACGAGCCTGCTATTAATATATGCTCTTTACTTTCTTGAACACTGTCTACATAGTGGTATCCGTACAGAATCTTGTGCGGAGCCCCTGGCTCTCCCAGTAGACGGGATTGACTACTAATCCTGGTATGTGGATATATCTGCAAATAGTAGCTGAATGCTATGCGCTGCTGCTTATTCGAGGCACAGCACCACGTACGACGATATCCCGCTGTTTGCTTAAGCCGAGAATGAGAAAAGTACCACGCCGTAAGTTCGTGTCTTCGTGACAGCAAGGATTGACGGGGTAGGATGTGGGGAAAAGAAAAAAGAACGGGCCTCAGCAGGGCTAACTACATATAATGTAGTAGCAGAAGCCCAACCAGTAGACGATCCCGAGTTTGCTCTGGCAAACTCCGGGAATCAGCTCGTTCGGAATGTCTCCGTACTGTACATAGACATTATATTTCTAAAGAGGGGGAAACGAATATCGAGCTGCTCTACTATGTATGATTGGACCTAGTTGTTGCTAGGAGAAAGAATATGGGGAGGATGGTAGTTAAAATCGATACCCATTCGTGCGTCTTGTCCCGTCCTTGCAGACAATTAGTCGTGGCCAGATTCGGCGAGTTTAATACATACCAATTCGTTGACCGTCTTATTTCATTACGAAAGCAAAACAAATGCATACAACCTCTGGTCTGTCATACCAGTAATACAAGAAGCGCACTAAAAAAAAAAGGTGTTGACAATCTAAATGTATTCTATATAGGTACGTAAGGTATGTAAGTCGTATGTAACGCAACATGCAGTCTCCTAAGACTCCTGAATACCTACTTCGTGTGTGATTCTTAACTTTCGACTTCTACTGCAATTGTTAGGGTTCGGCTTTCGCAATGCCTGTATCTCTTAAAGCCGCGCGTTGTACAGTACAATTCAATATGGACGGATGTGACCTTACGAATTACCTCGTCCATACCTATTCTATTCCAAGTCCCTGCATGTCTACCACGTTGTACCTCGATGTTTCCGACTCGTGAGCAAAGATGGAAAAGAAAAAAAGACGTGTCACCAATAGAGAAATGGAACATCGGGACTACATATGTCAATTTGACTGTTTGGCGCTCGTTGACGATTGATTCCCCCCCATCGTACGATTTTGGCTCTCGCATTTTTTCTTCTCAGATCGATCCCCGGCTCTCGTTTTCTTTATTTCAGCCACTCACACGGCGCCCTTAACCTCACCCACATGATTCGGTCTTCACGTGTACATAGGTATGATACTCCAGAGGCTCTCTCCGGCAAACTAATCCCTGCACTCTATGTACATACTTGCCTATTCACACCTTGTTAGGGTCCTTGCCAGTCGAAACTCCTTAACTTCAAACAGCGAACAACCGCTCTTCCACCGAATGAGGAAACCCTCGCTAGCATCTGTCATCTGACAAGCCACCACCATACCTAACCCATCATCCGCTGACGCTGACGACGACTTCGGTCCTTCTTAATTGACAATCTGCTTAAGGCCGTATCATATGTGATATGTACATGCCTTAGGTACATAGCTATCTTTTCTCCCGTTGAATTTCACGAAAGGGATTAACCTAACAGAACTAACAGCTCTGGTTCATAACGATCCTAGCTGTGTAGCTAACCTCCTAACCTAGGTACATACATCTAATCCATATGTATCTCTCTCTCTCTCTCTTCCTCACCCATGTCCGCAGGATCTGCGCCTCGTGCCACTTAAAGCATGGCCCCAGCAATAGCCTAGGATAGGTAGGTAGGTAATTCATAGCTAATACATACCTACACTAACCTAACTGGCCTAACTAGCCTGATGCGTACACTAGAACTGCACGTAGCATTGGTAGCTCGAAGCCAAAGCAGGAAGAGGGAAACACAAGACGCACACATACGACATACGTCCGGTACCAACTGTCGGGATCTTCCCGCCCCCGAAAATATCCACCAGCATTATTTATGTATGTACTAAGATTGCTTTCCCCGGGTTTAACGCAGGCGACGATCTTCAGCGTCTCGTCCCTCTCTCTTATTAAGCCGCCTAGCCAATCTCGCCAGTTCGGCGCATTCTCCTTCCCATCGCTCCCCACATACTTACCATACTTACAATACACAATACATCACTATTTCGTATACCTTCAACAGATATAGCATAATAAAGTCGACGTTGACAATTCTAGCTATCAAACTTACAGGAACTAATACTGGCTTGTACGGAAAAAGACACCGTGCTTCGACTAGTACCCCGATCTGGCATCGTCCATATTTCGAGTTTGATGAAGCGTCACGGTCTGCAACATCTTGGATCCTCTCATCCGCGGCACATCTACGTAAACCATACATCAATACGTTTGCTAAGGATTAGCTGCAGTAGGTGCATCGAGCTGCATAACCCCTCAGGACCTCACATATCCTTGAGCACTACGACGGCACATAGAACTACCTACGCGATCATGACACACTTCCCAACCTGAGCCAGATCCCTTTCCTCCTCTCTTCGACATCATCCCGTGTTGATTACTTATTCAACAGTATCCAGTCCACTCATTATAGTCACTGGAGGGTTTTAGCACCAACCGGGTAGGATTACTATGGTCGTTAAGCTAGATGCGCACCAGACGTCCCTGGAGCCCTTTGGACTATCCTGGTCGTCTTGCCACGTACGTCATACGGATGATGATCCGGGCCTAAGTAATAGTAGCAGGTCGCGCTACTTTCGGATCAGTGCATCGGCGCCCAATTCACCGCCAAGAGTGGTCCGGATACTCAAGGCCGGGGTTAGTGGTGGTAGTGGGAGTGAGGAGACGAGCAGTGAAAGTAAGAGTCAGGTTCGTGCTAAACGTAGAATTGCTAGCCCAAGCTCTCGTTTGACGAAGATCCAAGTCGAGCTTCAACCATGCAAGTCTCGGGTTTCAACTGCAGTGTTTTCGACGGAGGGCCGACCGAAACCCAAGAAGGCGAACTCTGCCCCGGTAGTTTTGCAATCCCAGTCTAGGACCGGCGAGGAAGCCCAAGAGGAACATAGTAGTGATGTGCCCCCAACATTCCGGGTCAACTCACTTCGACCTCCGGTAGCAACGACGTTAAACGCTGTAGTGTCAAGTGGAGAAGGAAAGGAAAGAACGGTATTCTACTTTCCCCGCGAGACGTTCGTTCCATTATCTCCTGTCCTCCGGCCTCCCAAGCGGGGCCGTGCATTGCACGATGTTGACGGGCCCGGAACAGGTAGTCTTCCGTGTAAGAAGCGGCGGTTGCGACTACACCTTGTAACGAGTAGGTTATCGCAGCCATACTCGTGGCCGGCGACGCACATTCTGAACCGCGAAAGCGGCGACGACTCGCCCGTGCTCAACCGGTTCCTCAAGCTCGCCGCCATTGGCTCTTTAAAGAGAGCCGGTCACCAAAGCGCGCTGGTCCGCAAGGCAGCCATTCTGAATAGAGTGAGGATTGGAGTGCGGCAAGCTGCTGTGCTGAGAGGCCACACGGTGATCGCGGGAATGGCGGCTAGAGGAAACTCACTAAGCCACAGTTTACAGCTAGTGACGACGTCAAATAGCTCAACAGGGGCCCGGTTCCCTGGTCACGCGCCTAACCCTTACGACCATCCAATACCGCCAGCGTGGCGACCACATACAACATCATTCCACCCCTCGTCTTTTCGTTCAAGCCCTCTAGACCGGGGTGATTCCGCAGATAAGAAGGGTAACCTCAAGAACAGGAGTCCCAGCCCAGCGGCGACTTGCCCATCTCCTCCACCGCGACTGAGTGTGCAGTCGAACCCACCAGATCAACCAACACCACCACAAGTGGAAGACGATGATGTGGCATTCCCCTCTCCAGACCTTGAGACTCGATATGCAGATTTTTCGGATGATGATTTAGATGACGTATATGCAGATTTTGGAGTGCTATTTGGCTCTGGTACGCGGTCACCTGAGGATGGTAGTGGAAGTAGTGAAACAACTAGTGGTCAACATTTCTATGAGGAGTACTTGGATGAGCTGGATGGAATACGATGGATAGCGTAAGGTACTGCGCATGGGATATTTGAACCGTTAGCGACTTGCATGATAGGTGTATTCTTTGGGCTATCATCAGAGATTGGGCGTCTTTGTAGCTGGATGAAGGGAGCAAAGTTGGTGTCATGGTATCCGGCAAGAAAAATGAGAAAATACTAGGAAAATCATTTCAGATGCATCGTCGTTATGAATAGAAGCATACCGCAGCCTCACGGCAGCTTCGGATGATCAAGATTCAAATAATAGGACAAGGAAATGACCTAGGTTGTAAGGCATATGCGATCAGTAACTTGCCATATACCATATTCCCTATGATGATAGATGATCAGTAAACACCAAATTCTTCCTCTTGATGTTCAAAGAAAATTGGTAAATAATAAGGGTGTCTCTAAGAGTTCAGGATATGAACACCTTACAGTTCTAATTGCCAGTGTGCGATGCGATATATGTGCTCGGATACTCTTGTATACGGTCTAACTTAGGAGTTGACAACGGCGGTGAGCTTGCTTGACAAGCATATGGCTCGCTTTTAAATAGGTGATGCGTCTATATTCCTCCACATTTAAATGTTGAATGTGATCTAGATGAACATCCTTTTAATCTGCAGCCTGAAGTTTTTTCGCGCGATCGAGAGCAATATCGATCATCGCCTAAGATTGGGATCGAACCAGAATGCGTCAGCATAGGGGAAAATCTTTACACCTTGGTTAATCAGCTCTCGCTGGATAAATTTCACCTACCTGGATAGCCTCTCGCTCCTCGGCGAATATGTCACTGCGGTCAATACGCTCCCGCATATTATTCATGACGGTTTCACGGCTTCGGCCATTGACAAATACTACGTATCGTAATCCGGGGAATCGGGCCTCATACTCCTCGTTCAGAGATTTAAGCCTTCCGGCCTCTTCTTCCTTCTCGCCTGAGGTACCGGATGAGTTGAGATGTGCCTGCTCGGCCCGACTCTGTGCACTCTCTACCCTCTTCTCACCCAGGCGCGGATGTGAGCCTAGGATTTCATGCAGCCTTTCTCTTGAGTTAGCAGCAGTTGAGTTTTCCGCGAGCTGAAATAGGAGACTTCCGACATGTTCGATGAGAGACGGGTATGACGAGAAAGGAGTGTTGCCGACCGCTGGAATGGCTACGAGGTGAAGGTCTTGAGACGGCTCGAAAAGTGCATCGAGTACAAACTTGATTTTGCTATCATCAGCCCCTTGCAGCGAGATAACGGGTGGTAGCGTTGGAGAAGCCATTCCGCGAGGTCTTGCATATATGTGATTATGGATGGGCAAATACGGAATTAGGTACGTTAAAGTTGTAGTAATTGCACTTAGCAACGATTTGATTTGCTTCAATTCAGATCATTGATTTAATGGTGGGGTCTAAGGTGGGGTTCGATTTAGGTACCGAATCTTGGGGAAAGCGTTTGTACTACGTACCACACTAATGATTTCACCAGCCAGCGTAAGGTCCCCGGCAGCCCGGACACAACTTTACATAGTACCTAGGTACTTCAAATCAAACTCCGGATAAACAGCGGGCCGTTACATACATAATTTTCTACGGGCCAACTTCGGTCTCCCTACTTCTAACCAATCATTTCAAAGTCAACATTGCGCAGGAACTAACGAAGCTTCAGAGCTACATGTATCAACTGCTGACTTTGGAAATTTTATTGATTGAGCTCAGCCTACCTAAGCCAGCAACTAGACACAATCAGACACAATTATCGCCAGTCTGAGGTTATCCAAGATGCTGTGCTCTCGTAAGTGTTCACTAATGTTCTTCGCCATTTCCCCCTCCATATTTCTAACGAGATATAGTTTCCGGCGAAGCTCCTCAAGAGCCTGTCGTTTCCAAATTATCAGGTAAGGCCATGTCGCTTTGTTTAGTATACTACTTGACTAAATTAATATCGCCTAGGCGCCGTATTTGAGAAGCGACTGATTGAGAAGTATATCGAAGAGAATGGAAAAGATCCTGTGAGCGGGGAGGACTTAACCCTCGACGACCTTTTACCTATCAAATCTTCACGCGTCGTGCGACCCCGACCGCCTACTCTCACTTCCATACCAGCCCTCCTATCTACCTTCCAAAACGAATGGGACGCGTTGGCGCTAGAGACCTACAATATTAGAGAACAGCTGGCGCGAACGAGGGAGGAACTTGCGACGGCTCTCTACCAACATGATGCGGCCGTCCGTGTTATTGCGAGGTTGACCAAAGAACGGGACGAGGCCAGAGATGCGCTGTCTAAGGTGACTGTTTCGGCTGGCGGCGCAAACAACGGCGATGCTATGGCGGTCGACGCTGAAGCTCTACCTGAGGAGCTAGCGGCTAAGGTGGACGAGACACAAACGAAGTTTGTACTACGATTTTCTTCCGTTTATACGATATAGCTAACATGCCAACAGACTATCTAAGAGCCGAAAGAAGCGACCCGTTCCGGAGGATTGGGCAACAGCAGAGGATATTGCTACGTTCGCAGTCGAAACAACGAACTCGCTTCCCGTCCCCCAAGCTACAACGGTTAGTGTCGAGGCTGCCTATGCCGCTGTGGGTGGATTGCAGGGTGACGTTGCCATCTACTCGATTGAATCGGACAATGTCGAGCGTTCGTTCCAAGTAAACGAACCCGTGACGGATTCAATATGGGACGGCTCCAGAGTCTTCTTCTCGACTTCTAAGGGCTCCGTGAAGGTATTTGAGAATGGCAGCGAGATCGCGTCGTTCTCCGATCACGCCGGCCCAGCTACCGGTCTTTCCATTCATCCGAGCAAGGAAATATTGGCGTCTGTCGGCTCCGACAAGAGTTTTGTATTTTATGATCTGGCCAATTTGCGTCGCGCCACGCGTGTGTACACCAATGCTAGTAAGTTAACATCTCGAAATATTTGTATTAATGTTGTTACTAAATTCTACTGTAGCTTTAACCGCTTGCGCCTTCCACCCCGATGGCCATCTCTTTGCTGCGGGTACCAGTTCTGGCGAGATCAAGCTATTTATGACTAAGGTCGGAGAGGAAGCAGCCTCGTTCCACTTAGGAGCTCCCGTGCAAGCCATTACCTTTTCCGAAAACGGCTTCTGGTTTGCGGCCACAGCAAAAGGACAGACTACGGTCACTGTATTTGATCTGCGCAAGGAGGGGGAAGCTGCGCATGTCAAGGTGTTGGATATCGGCAGCGCAGTACAGGCCCTCGCATGGGATTATTCCCAGCAGTTTCTCGCAACAGCTGGACCCGCCGGAGTCACAGTACAGCAGTACAGCAAAAGCTCTAAGTCCTGGTCCGAACCCTTACGAGCAGCAGTCAGTGCAGTCAGCGTCAAGTGGACTACAAACGCAAACAAGCTTGTGGCTATCAATGGAGATGGAGTGATTAGTGTTCTTGCCGCCAAGGAGTCGTGATTTGGGCCGGTAACCCTCGTCCAAAGATAATACGGACGAACAAGAGGAGAAGTATGGGCTAGGTAGGCCAGAATACGCTTTATATCACAACCAGCACTGGATGATAGCTTAGAGTTCGTCAATGTACAATATGGATAGGGGATGGGATCTCCAACGATACATTCTTCTGAGAAGTTGAAGTTTTCAATGTTGCTTAGGTGATATAAATCAATCAAATGGGCCTATTATACAAGGCATAGCTAAGGAGAGAATAATCTTGGTTCCTTTGGTTTTACCTAATGCATACCTGTAGATACCTTCATTTTTCAAAGTATCTTCATATATGTCTACCCATGAGTTATGCGCTCTTGATTTAAAATGTATCCATTGAGTGTGCTCTTATTGGATAAAAGAGATACCTACCTATACATATGTATACAAAGCAGCCTTAGCGCGTAAGGCTTCTTGGGTGCGGCTGTTTACCAGCTATGTGGGGCAGAATTACCTAGGTTGTCAGCTAGGTACCTACCTATCGGGGTTGAATAAAGTAAGTGCACCTAAGTAGATTTGGTAATGCGGCGTCATCCCTGCCGTACCTAAGTAACTAGGCATGTAGTACCTGATAACTGGAAACCCTTGCGCACGTACAGTAAGATCTAACCGCAAGGCTCGCGTTAATGTGAATTTCGCCATTCAACATCACCATAGTTTCCCAACTGTTCCCATAGCAAACTAATCCAAACCTACCTATCTACCTATCTACCTACCTATCTAGGTACCTAACCTGGGTTTACTTTTCTTCGCCTCCCATCATTCCTTCCTTTTAATTTTCACAAATCACCCAAGTTTAATAACCGCCGTAACGTCTTCGTCGCTTCCCGACATTTACAACGCGGCGGCAAGCATACATACGTCAACGGAGAAATACTACTTCCCTATCTCAACCCTGCTATGAGGCGGGCAATTTCTGTTGATGCGTGCTCAGTAAAATGATAGCGCATAATTAATTACCCTACTACCCTACGTACCTATCTGTATTCTCGGTCCCATAAGGTCTGACCTATCCGGTTGGTAAGTTTGCGCACAATCTTACATTCTTTCAAGTTTGCACAGTTCATGCCTCGAACCACCCAACAATACACGTTGCTCTACTACTTTTTTTTTTTTTTTTTTTTTTTCATATATTGGCCACTAACATTTTCGCCAACCCAGAACATTAAAGTGATTTTGATATGGCCGAAATCGCCGATTCTGATCTTCCAGATTCTTTATCATCGACCCCTCCTGGCTTTGTTGCGACTCCAACATTGTCTCCTCAAAGCACAGAAGAGGAAGATGATGATTCTATTATGACCGAGTCTTCTCCCAGTCTCCTACCACGTTCTCGACATATTTACGACCAAAACCCCCCGCGTAGCAGCAGCTCAGCTCCTCGTATTATATCCTCCCCCATATCATCTAACGATTCCGAGGGAATTGTAGAATTCATCGACCATATTTACCCTAACTATTCCGAGGTAGACAGTGACGATCTTCTCTTGGATAACCCATACGGTCCTATGGGCATCGATGACGATTTCTTTGATGCGTATGACTCAGAAGAAAGCCTATTTGTAAACGACCGCCCCAACAGAGACGGTCATATCGATAGATTTAATCAACTATCTCCCGATCCTTGGCCGAGCAGTCCGGAAGAGAATAACGCTGTAGAAAACTATAGATCACCCGCGATGGATGGGTTTGGAGAGCTAGAGAACCTGAGAGACGAGTTGGTAGGGTTTGAGGTAGAGCGGGCTGGGAACCCCGCGGCTCGGAGACAAAGAGAGCAGCAGCCTCAAAGAGAACCCGAGGTGATTGATTTGACGGGTGATAGTCCTGTTCAACATGCACCTCGAAATCGTTATCAGACTCTTCGCGGACGACGTTCACTGCAGCGGGGCACCCCTCCTCGATTAGAACGCAGCGATGCTAGCTACATGAATTCTCAGACCGTCATCGACCTCGTTTCGGATTCCGACGACGAGCCCGCAATAATGCTACAGCCTAGACGAAGCATCCCCCCTCCTCGCAATCACCCTCATCGCATTCCTCCTCATCGAATTCCTCCTCGAGAGGAACTTATGCGAAATCAAAATCGACTGCGGCAACAATTGCAACCGGATATCCTGCCTGGCCGCAACGCTTTGGATCAGATTCAGCATCTCATGAACCACATTCCTTTCCTTCGTCTCCTCAATAATCAAAACCCCATGGCAAACAACCACGACGATGATCTAGTCTTGCTAGGTCATCGTAATGTAATGCAAGAGGGGATACCGCAACCCAACCTTGCCCCGGTGGACCTCGACTATGACGCTCATCCTTTTCCGATGCCGCAGCCCGCGCCAGTAGGCGCTAGTCCGAAGCCTGCACATGAACCTCCGAAAGAGACAAGACCGGGATTTACGAGAGACACGGGCGATGATGTCGTAGCTATCTGTCCCAGTTGCGACCAGGAGTTAGCATATGACCCGGATGATGATGCGAGCAATGCAGCTACACCTTCCAGAAAAGCTCGGACGAAAAAAGACAAGGCCGAGCATCATTTTTGGGCCGTTAAGGCGTGCGGACATGTAAGCATTAATGCAACTACCCGGCTAAAGAATACTGATGTTCTAATATATCTTCAGGTCTACTGCAGGAAGTGCTACGAGTACCGCAAATCCACGGGCAAGAACCGCGTCCCCGTAGGTTTCCGACCTGATCCCAGCGGCGCCAAGAACAAGTTGATCTGCGCCGTTGAAGACTGTAGCTCGGATGTGAGCGCGAAGGCCGCGTGGGTCGGCATCTTCCTATGATGCGTTGTCTTCACATTACTCCTCCGAGTCGAGTCGATTTGGTCTGGTTCGGGGATGCTGGATACTCAGCTCAACCCAATTTTACGGCGTGGCGATAATTCTCCAGTACTCATATTTGCATCATAAGGCGTTCCGATAAGGCAAAGGTATAAAGGTGGGAATGAGGGTCGGAAGGGAACTCAGTAAGGTCGATATCCTCACACGTTGTTTGTAACTACTTTTTCTTTACCAATTTTCCCGCATGGTCTGCGGCGTTTGTATTCTTACAGACTCAGACTTGATTGCACTTACTAGCCTCCCCATCATATCCAAGACTTGAGGTCGATCGGCTTAGGACGAGATGCAGTGGATAGATATGGTAGATGGGTAAGGTGTGTTTTACCTACTTAGGTCGCGTCACGCTGCACTCTGGCCTATAAGGTAGCCCATAAGAGGCTTTCAGCTAGCCTACATAGGTAGGCAATAGACGCATCGTTGTATTCCGAAAGTAGGCCCGCCAAAGCTACGACTTGTATTTCTAATGACTTATTTTCTACCGACGTGTTTGAAGTGTGCTAAATTCACGGAAGGACAAGGCTGCCTGCCCTAGGTACCTCCCAAAGCATTACATATAAGAGAGTAAAATAAAATAAACAACTCGGGCTAAGAGGTAAGGCAAATAAACGATAAACGTATTCCAAGACTTTACGTAGGTGAAGACCGGACAGGAGTTTTATGAGGCGCATGCTTTATTAATTTATTAATTGTGTACCTATGTATATACAATTTATATACAATTCCTCAATTCCTCGAGGAGCCGGCTCGGTCTTAGCCGTAGCTACCGTAGCTACCGTATCTACCGTAACTGGCAATCCTACGCAACTTACGGACTTGCGCACAAGGTCTGCGGGTATCACTTAATTTAATAGCAGGGATCTCAAGGTTGCAGGATTAGTGCTGACACAAATCGCGGACCCGACGAAAAAAGGTACTGCACTGACTCTTGGAAAGAAATATCTTCAAACTGCTTAGCTGAGAAAAGGAAGTTCCCTATTGTTATTACTAATCTTCTCGTTCAAAGATCTAAACCTAGGTGGTGATTATACTCACTCAATCCCCAAAACTCATTCTCTCTCTATTTACATCGGCAATTTACATCAGCAATTTGGGTACATCAGCATCAATGAAACGACCGCATTCAACCATTATAAACCACCTTGATTGATAATTGATATACTCATATATCACGTATATCCCATATTTTTCTCAGATGGTCCATCAGTTGCCGACTATGTTCACCACTTTCCTGGGTCCGTCTCCAAGATCTAGTGAATCCGGTCCGAACTCCGCTTCTCCGAATGGGTCTCAGCCTCCACGGCCCCGGCAGAAACGGAGCCAGGTAGCGCGGGCTTGGTAAGTTTACCATACGTCTATACGTCTATGCATCTATAAATTCGTACCTTGATGTCGTCGTCCTTTTACGTCGTCTTGTATTGACTCTGCCTAGTGACTACTGTCGCGTACACAGAATCAAGTGCGATAATAATCATCCGTGCCTCAACTGTCAGACTAGAGGCGGTCAGTGTAGCAACGACCACACAAATGGAGTCCGCACTCTCCCGCATGCATTCCGCGAGATAGAACGGCTTAAGCAGCGCAATCAAGAACTTCAAAAGGAGCTCGAAGAAGAACGGAGCCGTAATAGAAATCAAGTCGTTACCCCGACCGGATCCTCTAGCTCCCAGCTTCCGACCCCCCCAAATATTTCATCTTCGTCAAGCATCTCTATCACAACCCCATCGGGCCCTTATTCATATGATGCCGTATCTTCCAGGAGATACTGGGAAGGTATCTATACTAACACAGCCAGATCTGCATCGAAAACCTGGTACGGGCCCGCATCCTTGCTCTACTTTATTAGTCGTCTGAATGCCTTCCTGGCTTCAACGCTGCAGCAGCATCTTCCCGAAAGCTCATTGCAGCCAAACTCGGCCAGTAGACTTCTCGATGGTCCTACAAGTCCACCAGATAAACAGACGGATGAGCATGACCAAGTACCACCTGACGATCCTATTAAGGCTAAGGAGTACTTGACTGCTACGCAGGAAGAATACTTCCTAGATCTATATTGGCAGTCGCATCATACTTCTCTCCTCGTCCTCGACGAGGACAATTTCAGGCGTCATTATAAATCATTATGGGTCGGATCGAGAAAGAAGCGCAAACCATCAGCCCTCGTCGATATCGTTATAGCCTTGTGCATGCAGTATGGCATGGCACGGGGTCGGGGTAATAATAATTCGGTAACGGGGAATGCCAACGTCGATACTGACGATGCGACGCTCGCCGGCCGCTGGCATTATTGTCGCTGTCAAAACCTTCTAGCCTGCGAATTGGAGAGTCCTACAATATCAACTTTACAGTGCAACATATTGTCCGTGGTCTGGTTATGTTGTGCTTCGTTTCAGAATATGGCGGATAGCACCTTGGCCGTCACGGCGAGGACAGCTCAGATGCTCGGCCTTCATTTACCGCCACCGCAAAGCATGCCACAACGTGAGAGGGAGATGCGAAAGCGCCTATGGTGGTCCATTTACGTCGCCGAGACCAAAACTAGCATGAAGCTGGGTCGACCATTTATGCTCCACCTGTCGCATGCGAGTTGTGGCTTGCCAGCCGACGACCACGAAGCCGCCGCGCAATCAGGGTCAGGTTTCGCGCCTTTAGACGATGATGTTACCTGGCTTAGCTGGAATTTACACAACACTAAGCTTGTCCTTGCTGCCCGCGACGTATACACCGCTTTTTACGATAAGTATCCAGACTTTGTCGAGGGCGACGGTAACCAAACGATTTATGACGCACCGGCGGCCATGGAGACGTATGCTGAGTTCCTTATTATGCGCATGAGGGCCTTGGAACAGTGGGTTAAGGATGTGCCTGACGCATTAAAGACCCAACGTAAAAACCATGGAATCCCTTTTTCAACGGACCTCTCGCCGGTAGAGATCGAACAGTTCGCTCCGCTCTGGGTGCAACGCCAGCGTCTGCTATTGGAATTATTATACCATAATCTCTGCACAAATCTATATCGACCATTTATATCCTTCAAACGATCTCCATACTCATTAGTATCATCTCAGTCTTCATCCCTTGCAGAATCTTGTGCTCATAGATGCGCTAGCCACGCTATGGCGCTCACGCATATTATGCGGCAAATATTATCAACAACAGATATACTTACGGGCTGGCAAGAAGCTTTTCAATGGGAATGGAATGTCGCCATGACTCTAGTCGGCTTCGTCCTGTCACATCCTCATGATGAACTAACACCGGCGGCGCGAGAAGCCATAAGTGTTTCAGTTAATGCTCTAGGCATTTTTGGAAACAGCTTTTCCGTAGCCGCAAGTGCGGCCGAACTGGTGCGTGAGCTTAGTGTGACGGCTGACCATATGATTATGCCGCAACTTATCAATGAAGGTGATAGACTCATAACTCAGGAGGGTCAGCCTATTATCATGATGCACCAGAGCGAGCAGGAAGGTACAGTCATGGGTCAACCGGATGTCGGATTCCCTATGTTTGATGAGGACACCATAGCTGTGATGCAGGGCATCCTAGCAGATTCAATGGACCTGGCCTTTGCTGTTGATGGTTACAACACTACGAATGTTTTATGGCCGAATATAGATTCTACAGAATAAGAAGCCATATATGTAAAAGCTATAATAATGAAACCGAATGAAGCTTTTTGTATCCAATTGAGCAAACATATTCTTAGCTCACTAGAGTAAATGCAGAGCTACTTAGCTATAGTGTTTAAATGTTTCTCGCCTCGAAATATGCTATGTATAAGAGGTAAATTGTTATTGTTATTCTATAACTATATCTATATACTAGTACATTTTATATAGTATTGAAAATCTTTATCAGCATCCCCCCTCCCCCAAATTAAAACACCAGTGCCCGATAGGTCCTTCGGGGCCCGGCATGCGAAGCCCGTGCTAGTACCACGGAAACGAGATATCCACAATATCTAGCCGGAATGCATGAAAATGGGACTCTTAAAGCTTTACTACGAGACTATATTGAGGGCATCACCTTTTACTGCCCAACTCCTTGTATCAATACCCATCTACTTACCTAAGGTATCTAAAAGTGACAAAATTATTTCTAGTTCCGTTATGGTGAAAACGACATGCACTAAGCATACCCCGGCGATTGTAGTTCTCCCTTATATGCAACTTTGATTTTACCCCACTTCAACTTTTGTTTTTTGTTAGATGCAAGTTATTCTGGCCGATGGACACGCATGTAGGTGTGTATAGAAGGTACCTAGCATATAGTGGGGTAAATCCATGTATATGCTTGCCAATAGGAGCGACTCCTTTCCTCTGCAGCAGATATAGTGTTTTCCGACATATAAGCGGGGCCGGAAACCCGGGTATCCGGATATACGGAGCAGCGCCGTGGGCAAAGAGCCGCACTTTCCCAGAGGAGTTACGGAGAGGGGCGCGATAAGGCAAAAGACGACGGACTTGGATTGAGTCATAGCGGGTATTGGTATTGATTGATGTGATATTTGACCTGCGACCCGCCCCAAGCCAAGAAAACAGTAGATCGAACCTATGGAGATAACTGTACCACGGATGGGAAATCTCTGCTGGTGTTTGGGCTCTAAACCCCGGGATACTGCTGCTGTTGTTGGATAATCGAGCTTGATGCCACATGCGGCGTCACCATAAGATACGATGAGACGACGGTCCAACAAATAGTCTTTGCTTAGTGTATATCTATGCGATGCTGCCATTTCGAATAAAAGAGAGGTAGTTAATATAACTACCTACCTACCTTTTTAACTAGTCTGGCTTTCTCCCGTCCTGGTGTTCGCTCCCTATACGCCTAAAGAATGGGAAAAAACAAGGTCAATCTAGCAATACCGATGAGCAGCAGCAACAACAACAATAACAGCAACAACGTTGCCACAGAGCAAAAAACCGAAGAGTCGAACTCCGAATCGACCCAGAACGTCGAGTCCAGCCCGGCACGCAATGCCTCTCTCCAAGAAAAATCCGAGCCGCAAGAGCGGTCCGTACGGGGATTCCGTTGGTTCCTAATCTGCCTGTCTATCTTCTCGGCGAACCTGCTCTTTGGCCTCGACAACACCATCGCCGCGGACATCCAGGGCGCCGTATCCGAGACGTACCAGAACACGGGGCAGCTAGGCTGGCTGGGCGTGGGGTTTACTCTAGGCTCGGCCGCGGGGATCCTGCCAATCGGAAAGTCATACGCCATCTTCGACAACAGATGGGTGTTCATCGCGTGTCTGGTTAATTTTGCCGCGGCTAGCGCCCTGTGCGGCGCGGCGCCAAATATGAATGCTATGATTGTCGGGAGAGTGTGGGCTGGGTTTGGGGGGTCCGGGATGTATTTGGGTACGCTGAATATCTCGACGGCTCTTGTGCTCCCGAAGGAACAGCCTGTTTATGTAGCGGGAACGGGGTTTATTTACGGGGCGGGAGCTATTCTTGGACCGGTTGTGGGGGGTCTTCTTGCTGATAGTCCAGCGACGTGGAGATGGGTAAGTGTTGCTAAACCCCTATCTTCGAGCAAGGAATTTTCGTTGTTGTAATCATGCCTAACATGGAATCCACGCGCAGGCTTTCTATCTCAACCTCGTCATCTTCGGCGCCATGTCGCCCATCTACTTGTTCCTGGTCCCCTCCGTTCCGCGTCGACCGGAGATGTCGTTCCTCGAGAAGGCAAAGCTAATGGATTGGCTTGGGATCTTTCTCAACTCGGCCATGTACTCCTGCTTCACGGTGGCCTTCCTTTTCGGCGGCGTCGAATGGGCCTGGAACAATGGGCGCACTATCACTCTAATCGTGCTGGCTTTCGTCCTACTTATCGCCTTCGTACTTACGCAGAAGTTCGCTATCCTAACTGATAAAGTCAACAGGCTGTTCCCGTGCAGCTTTTTGCGAAACCCGCAGCTCGTGCTCATGTATATCCTTATGTTCTGCAGTGGTTTGAGCTTGTTTGTTGCTGTTTACTATATCCCGTTTTACTACCTCTTCGCACGCGGTGAGAGTGGTACTCAAGCTGCCATCCGCTTGTTGCCTTATATCTGCTTCTACGTTGCGGCCATCCTAATCTGTGGTGCCGTTATGGGGCGCGTTGGTTACCATATTGTGTGGTTCCTGCTCTCGGGGCTGTTCCTTACGGCCGGTTCGGCAGCCATGTACACCGTGGACCCTTACACGTCAAACGCGAAGATCATAGGGTTTTCGATCCTTCTGGCAGTCGGAATGACGGCGTCTCAAGCGCCATATGCCATCGGCCACTTACTAGTAGAACCTGAACTCGCAGCGGACCTAATCCAATACATCAACATCTCGCAAGGCTCGTCGCAACTAGTTGGTTTAGTTATTGCGAGCGCGATCTTCCAGGCCGAGGCGTTCTCCGGAATCCGGGCGATCTTGCCCGCGGACCGCTACACTGACGCAGATATCCAAGCAGCAGTCGCGGGCGCGCGAAGCGAGGTGTTAACTCAAGCATCGCCCGAGATCCGCGCAGCTGCTATTGCTGTCATTGTGAAGGCCATCGACAAAATTTGGATCGTGGTCATAGTTGCTTCTGCATTATTTACGGTATGCACGCTGTTCTTAACGCGCGAGCGCTTCGTTAACCCTAAGGGGCGGCATGGCGAGGATAGCGGACCTGCGATGATGATCTTCTAAGAATCCTCTCGCACGATCTAGGGGTGGGAACTCACATCTGGGATGTGTTGGAGGTAACCAAATGTTCCCCTTTGTATCAACTAACTACAGGTATAGAGGCAGGGTTTTAGTACCTATAGTCTAATAGTCACTTGTTTTAATGGTTGCTCCTAACTAGGTACATAGCTAGCTTGGGTAATAGACTATAGGTAGATAGGCTGTCTTAAAAGGGGAGGGGTGGTACTTATAGGTGATAATTTAGTTTGGGTTTATACTTCTTTAAGGCCCATTTTGGCCGTGTTAATATAGCTGAAAAGTCTTTTTATACAAGTATATAATGATATTTTAAAGCATAACTACAGGTTTAATATTAGCTGTTAAATTTAAATTCTCCTCTCAAAAAACGAGGAAGTTACTAATCTATATTTATAAACCAGATTTTTTAAGTCCCATAGACTATTATATGTCATCATAAGACAGTAAAGTTTCGAGTGCCAGTTTCATATCTCACACCTTTACGGTATCTAAGAGACATATCGTCGAATAGCTTTAGACTTGGTACCAGCTTTACACGGCTTTATCGTAACCACTAGACAGTATCTTTTAAGAACAGATACGATCACTAATCAAGGTACGATCTACAATATTTCAAACGATACGTTTATCGAACATTTAAAGTAACTACTTTGTATGGCTGTCTCACGGACTGGGATGGTTTCCTTTTATAGTAATTTTTCAAGCCATATTACACGATCATTGGCTCAGAAAGAATCCTTCACCATCGGTCGTGTCTCGATCACAGTATAATACCCAAAGGATACGATAGAGCGTACCGAACCAGTGTTAATGATGTATCATGAGTAATTCAGCAAGGCCCCGCCAAGTGTTAGTTTTACATATCTGCGTAATTTATGATTTATGCAGTTACAATTTCACTTACATAAATTATTCGCATTACCTATCTTCTTTTGCTTTCTTCTTCTAGTATTAGTATACGCTTTACATAGTGTACCTAGTGGGCTCCCGCACGAGGTGACTCCGGTTCTCCTTTGGGAAATATGCTTGAAAGTGGCCCACTTCGTTTCTAGGAAGCAAAGAGCGAAGTAACATAAAGCTTGCAAAAAATCAAGATTTTCGGTGACTTGCGAGCCTCGAAGCCTTAGGGAAGTACTCCTTAATTGTGGATAGTTGAAGGTCCCTTGTAATGGACTTGGGGAGATTCGATATGACGCCGGTTAGAGGATCGAAACAGGTAGGGAGTTGAGGGTAGTAGAGTAGGCGGAGGTAAAGTTCACATAAAGAGCAATGCGGCTTCTTGTTCTGTTCCCGGATTGTGACACGATAGATACTCTAAAGTTCGTACAGCTATATTCAAAGGCAAAGATCAAAAATTCTAATAGTCGAAGAAATGTCTCTCCCGAAAACCTTTAAGCGCGCAGTATTCCCCGGCAAGGGCGAGAGCCTCGTAATCCAAGAAACCCATTTGGTGCTTCCCGGAGATAATGAAGTGCTGGTCAAGGTAGAAGCATGTGGCGTATGCTACAGCGACTATTACGGCCAATATAATGTATTGGGCGGTGGCTTCCCGATATGCCCAGGCCACGAGATAATTGGCAGAGTCGCAGCCATTGGCAATAGCGTCAAGTCGTGGAAGGTCGGCGACCGGGTCGGTGGTGGCTGGCATGGCGGTCACGATGAGACCTGCAATGCGTGCAGCAAGGGGTGGTATCAGATGTGCGATAACGAAGCCATCAACGGCGTGACGAAGAACGGTGGCTGTAAGTCTTTTTGATCCCCATACACATATTATTTTCTGTATGTCGGGGGAACGTGGACAATAGCTAATGCATGTGTAGATGGTGAATACTGCATCCTGCGCTCAGAAGCAACTGTCCGTGTCCCTGAGCACGTCGACGCTGCTAAATACGCACCAATCTTGTGCGCAGGCGTGTCAGTCTTCAACTCCATCCGGAATATGAACATCCCGGTCGGTGAGACAGTCGCTATCCAAGGCCTTGGTGGACTAGGCCATCTCGGGGTCCAATACGCAGCACATATGGGATACCGCGTAGTTGCTGTCTCTCGAGGCGCAGATAAAGAAAAGTTCGCACGAGCGTTAGGTGCCCACGAGTATATCGACGCAAGCACGGAGAAGGACGTGGGTGCAGCCTTAAAAGCGCTCGGTGGTGCCAGCCTAGTTGTAGCTACGGCGCCGACTGCTGACTCTATGACACCGTATCGTATGTAACTGGATTCCTCTTTTTCGCGGATGTGGTTGCTGATTTTTTTTTCTTCTTCTTCTATAGTGAAGGGCTTGGGTATCCTTGGCAAGCTTCTGGTGTTGAGCATTCCTGGTAATTTAACCATCGACACTGTTACCATGCTCAAGTACGGCACTTCAATTCAGGTTTGGCCCTCCGGGCACCAAAAAGATTCCGAAGACACCATTAAATTCACCGAACTCAAGGGCATCGATTGTATGATTCAGACTTACCCCCTGGATCAGGCGCAAGCAGCATGGGGTGCGTTTCTTTTAGCAGCTCTATTTTCTTGCCCATTCGTGTTATCTGTTTCGTATGCCATGAATTAAACACCAGCTAATCTAGTATTGCATAGATGCCATGAAAAATGGTACAGTTCGCTTCAGGGCCGTCATCGTGCCTTGAGATGTCTGCTATTAGGGATCGTAAATAGGCTACAAATAGCGGCCTAGTTGGATATACCAGTAGCTAGAGGAAATGTTATTCATCGCGACTCGAGGCTTAACAACTTGGAGCATCTTAGACTATCCGCACAGATTGGGACGTCTCGAAATGTGTAAAACATATATATTACTTAACTCAACGCAGGGAAAGATTAGGTACTCTTAGGTATCTTGAAGAGTGTTCCTCTCATCGCAACCCCATAGACGCCTATAGACTACGGCCCGTAGTCTACGGCGTTCAATATAATACATCAAGACATATCAAATCTTCTTGTAATCCGCCACGTTAGGAACTTTACATAATACCTCTTCCCCTAGAACCCCGGAAGTTAGGTCCTTAAGCCAACTCAGGCCCCACCATCCTGCACAGATCCACCACCATCCCGCTCCCGCGCCTGCTGCAGCCTGCGCTCTGAAAGTATCACCTCCGTAACGACCTTATGCCGCAATAGAATTATATCCGTCGAGGGAGCCCCCGCCCTCTTATCCAGATCATCTCGGAACGCCACCCAAGCATCCCTCATCGCCTCCAGATTCTCACCACCCTGCAGCTTCTTCCGAGCCTTGAGTTCCCGGTACCGAATGCGGACTGGGATGGCGCTGAAATCGACTTCCGTGGGGTCATTAATAACACGCCCTTCGAGCCGCACCTTCATGTTGTTGATCCAGGTTGGAGTCTTGCGCGCTTTGTCAATTGATAGGCCGCCTGACATCTCGTATTGGTGGTCTCCCGATCGGGCACCGGAGCTAAGGCATGGTAGCAGAACTGAAGTCTTCGAGACCTTGCTATGAGGACTAGCCTCCTTTAAATGTCGTATGAAAGAGGGCTCTCTACTGCCTTCAAGCTGGCCTACAATCCACCTCATGCGCGGGACCTCCCTTCTCAGCTCTCCGAGAAGACGTTCAAGCCATGGGCGGGCCTTGTCCCAGCACCGTTGATATTCCAGCTCGGCAGCTATCTTTCCAGGATAAACGTACTTTTTAACCGTCGCACTCCACACCAGAGGCTCACCAGTCTCATGACCAGTATGAACCGCCGAGAGCTCGACGCATCTCCAGATCTGCCATCGAGCGCTTAGAAGTACGGTGGTAGTCCGGCGAATACAGCGTATCGCGTTCTCGGCGTGTTCTTCCGGAAGGAAGTAAAGCTGGTTAGGCCCCGCAAGTTGGAACTTGAGGTCCAAGAGCTCCTGATCGAAGTCCCGCGCTGTATCGAAGAATCCCCGGAGAGTAGGGTTCTGACGGATGTTCTGGAAGTGCAGTGCACGCTTGCTAAAGCTATCTGATAAGTCCGAGAATTCGTCTCTGAGGATCAGGAGTTCTTTGCGGCGACGCTCTTCGTCGAAGATGGTCGTCTCGAGGTCGCGAGTTCTGGGTGTGCTGATGACGCGCTCGTGTTCTTCCTCCCCTCTCGACGAGCAAGGAGGGGCGCTGCTTGACCGGCAGTGGCAGTGACAGCGGCGTTGATTGTTTTGCAGAGTGGCCATTTTTTCCGTTCTGTATTTTTGTAATTGGAGTGAGTAGAAGATCAGGAATAAATGAGCAGTTGCCGGGCCAAGGCGCATTATGTATTTCCTCGTTCGAAACTTCGAAGTCATGACTGGGCTAGAACTGACAAATACCTTCCGTACAGGTCATCGAATTTACCATGCGTAATACTTATCGGATTATATTTTCCAACTCCCATGACCAGCCTTAAGAAAGTCAACGTCTAACTCATTCGTCACTGTCGATAGGACCATCCGATTTCGAGTCATCCCCGTCAACAAACTTCTTTAGCAGCTCATCCAACTTTGGCAAACACTTTACATGAGATGAAAAGTCGTACAGCTATATACTAGGAACTCGAAAGAATAGTCCTTGTTGTGAGTTGGCTGCTGACAACCGTAGGGGCAAACTAGTCACTGTGCTCACTAGACTCATAAGCATCCAGGATGCCGAGCCACGTAGCCACACCTTCATATTCTACTCGTCTTAATTCATTTATCTTATAATTGACTGCTATGCCGGGTATAATGGTTCGTCTCCCTTTATGCTCCCCCGTATCCTTCTCACCCAGAGTACCTATATACATATTAACCCAACGCCCTGAATCGTGATATCTGAATTTCTTAATCCAGTACCGATAAACCAGAGTCTTAGAACTACAACATTTCGCTAAGGACATCATCCAATCCGGCATCCCCATAATCTGTTTCCTGCGACGCAGTTACTACCAGCTGTTCTTGTTTACAGTTCTCCGTGCGTTCAAGTAACTCCAACATTTTCTCATACGAGCTACGTGACTGGCTCTGTCGCGGACGTACTTCCTTCGGCTCATCGATCTTGTGATTTTGGAAGCTTCCTACCGAACTTGATAGCTGATTGATCGATCGGGGCCGCGACTGGTCCTTAACCTGGTCGCATGGCCGCGTGGATGAGCTTTCGGTTCTCGATTCTGAGCCAGACACGCCGGGTTTGATGCTGCCTTTGTTTTCATATTCTATCGCGCACATCGGTATCAACTCATTTGATTTTTCATCCTCTGATTTTTGAAGACGCTTTAATCCCTGATGTACATTCCGCCTGGTTGAGGCACTCTCCCACGCAGTTGTCTTCATCCTCTCATTGGTGTATATGCGATGTATTTCTCGGTCACTCGAAGTAAAGAATGGTTTGGGCGAGGCTCGCGGGGGTGCCATATTCTTCTCAGCTTGTAGTGTGCCAAGTGATTTCTTTTGATGACCCTGAGAGGTAGCCTCGCATATCTTATCCGTAGGCTTTTCGAAGTCGGCTGTATTCCTTAAGTTGCGACTTTGCGAATGATTGCTCTTCAAGAACACATTCGGTGTTGTAGTTTCCTTGGGCACCTGCTTCGAACTTTTGAGACATTCGGCGGATTCCTCAAGTAAGTGAGCGCGAATTGATCGGCCCCTGTCGCGAGCCGGACTAATTCGAGAATCCGGTATCGACCCTCTAGGCTGCTTTTGAGCCGGCGGATGAAATGAAGTTGTTACGCTAAGATTGCCATTCCAAGTCGGTTTTTCTGCGGATGGGTTATGGCTATCATAACCATTCCGACGTTCGAGTCCTATTGGAGATATTTTTCCGGGTTCGAGGTCTTCTAGGTCTTGTGACGAAAGGAAGAGATCCTGTGTTGAGAAAAATGGCATCTCAAATGGTTTAGAGTTTCCCGAGGAGTGGATACTTGCAGTGGGAAGCAAAGGACTCTCCTTTGCTTGTATGGACGAAAAGCGGCCCTGGATGGGTTTAATTTTTGGGGTTTCGCCTCCTATAATAGAACCGAAGCGATCGGGACTCGGCACAGCTGGGATCAACTTATTAGATACCTTCCTACTAGTAGGGGACTTGCTTGTAAATGTGGCTTTAGATTTCGGCTCAGTACCATTCCTTCCAATGCCAAATTTCGATTCTCCAAATATTTCCCTTACTTCTTGTGAGGGGCTTGGGAAAAGATCATCAAGGTGTCCGAGCATAAACAACTGGGTGCTCGTTGGTAGATGCTCGTCCTGCATTCCCTTAAGTGTGTGATGTCGTTGACCGAGTTTAGGGTTAGGGTTAGTGACGGAACGAGAGCCAGATACATGATTCCGTTTGGGGAACAAAGAGGGTGTCTTCGAATCCGTAACTGATACATGGCCACGCGATTTAGATCTTGATGGAATCGGAGGGGGTCCCATTGGAGTTCTGGGGTTCCGAAAGGACTTTGGTGATGAGATTGACGGGGCCCCCCCTTTTGATCCATTTACTAATGAATCTAGGGCGAGACTCGGCGCACGGTCTGACAGCTTCACTTGATCATGGCCTAGCTCCTGAGGCGTGTTGGTGATTCTTGAATTGACCTCCCTCGCACCCAGAGTTTGGAGTGGTAGTCGGTCAGACGGCGGTGATACAGCCTTCTTTGCCTTTTGTGCCGGTGGTAACTCCTCGATTGTGATTGGCGAACGATAACAATCCAGCGATTTTGATGACGATGGACTATTAGGGATTATCTGCTCTCCTAGTAGGAGGGAACCTTCGTCCGGATTCATATCGTCTCTGGGCGGATTGCTTACAGCATCCCCTGGATCATTAAATAATTCATCGATAAGTACCATCGTAGAAAGACCATCGACATCGGGAGCCAGCTGTTCTACCATTTGACCATTTTCAACTGGACCTTTGACTGTGTTGCTAGCTGCTTGAGGAGTACCTCGGGCGTCTGGGCCCCGGAGTGACGATGACGAACAATTCAACCCCCCTGCAAAGCTCGGACTGTGTCCCGGATCTAGAGGCACTGTTTTTTGCTTTTTCGGCGGCGGCTCGGGTTCATCACTTGATAATGTAGTGCTGTCACTGTCATCGCTCTCATGCCGATCGGTAATAGGCGAGTTTATTAAAGGTTTGCTCTCCGGCTTCTTCTTTTTATCACCACGGACAAACCAAGCAATTGTAGCTTGCGACGGGTGAACATCGACCAGTGGCAATCCTTTCCTTTTCTTTTCAGCGCGCTCTTTTTCTTCCTTCTCCTTTTTCTTGTCCCTTGCGGCCCTTGCGCGGGCCTGGTTCTTCTCCTTCTCAAATTCTCGCCGTATGCGGTCTTGCTCGAAGAGATCCTGGCGTCGCTGCTCGGCTTTGGATAGTTTAGGCCCCCTGTTTGATTTCTGATATGCTTTCTTAGCCTGCTTGGTGGTCATAGGCCGCTTGCTGGGCCGGGTTTCGGAAGCGTCGAGGCCGCCATTGATGGCGCATAACGCGTTTGGTACGATGGAAAAGGTGTTCTGACCAGGAGCCATCACTTATCACTTCAGACTTGAGATGTAGAAACCGGTTGCATCTATCCGTAACCCACGGGATCACTTCTGAACAGCATCGTATCAACAATGGCTAATAGAATTGATCAAGGTATCACGGCGAAAGCGTTAAAACATAAATTGGTGAAGTCTAGCATTGAATTGTTTTTTTCATCTTTAGGTTAGAACTTGCGTTGTGTCGCGTCGCGACAGCAACTGATTTGATTGTCATGTCCCACTTTACGCGTGTTGGTATGTACATATACAATGTTCCTATGTACAAGGCGTTTAGCAGTGTACTATGTAAGTGGGGCTTGTCTAAGAGAAAATACAGTTTACCATCAGATATATTAACACTGTACTTCGTATTATATGTAGGTAGGTACGTTAGGTACATGTATACCTATATAATTCACATGGTTATGACATAGACATGTGAGGTAATCACCCAACAAGATAAAAACATTAAGCATAGGGAAACAGCAACTCAGAGACAAGTCAAATAAAGTAACTCATCTTTCTATATATAAAGTACCTGGGTACCTTATAAGGCATACCTTATGTAATAGACTAGCTCTAATCTCGTTAGTTTCGATGTCATCATTTGACACTTACTCTTACTTTTCTTACCTTTGCACATTATTAATTATTCTCAACTTCTAATCGCATAGCTGTGGACAAGGGCCAGGCCATCAGCCTCGGTCTCATTATCATTCTGAATCGGCAGGTAGCACGACATATACGTAACGGGTATTCTCATCTACTATTATCATCATCGTCTATCTGACTACTCGTACATATCGTAGCCGGGGTATAAGAGACATATTAGAAAGCGGCTATCAACAATAACCAGCAGGGCAACCGGCGGTGGTGCCGAGAATGTCGCCCGAGACGCCACCGATCTGGAGGGCAGCACCGATAACACCTCCGAGACCCTCTCCGGCAATGAAGCCAGCCGCAATTGCATATCCGTAGAGGTCGAAGCTCTTGATGTTCCATCTTTTCCAAATCCACGCCACAGTGGCACCAAACATGGCCGCCGTTGTAAACACGGGATTAGGGAGGACGAACGACAACGCTACAGCACCCCAGTTCGGGAGGTATTGTCGGTACTTTTCGCGTTCGCCCACCAGGTAGAAATGTCTGAATATGACTTGGCCTACGCAGAAGACCGCCATGACGATGGAGAAGATCCCCGACGATAGCGGGATGCTGACATCTGGGTCTGTAACAGCCTGTGCAACGGCAGCCCATGCAGACACCGAAGGCACAGCGAAGGCACAGTGCTCAGCTTCGGCGTCGAGTATACAACTATGTTTTCAGAGATTAGTAGTGCTTCTATGGTGAGATCTTCAAAGATACTTAGATATAAATTAAAATACGTACGGATATGCTGTAGTAAAGAGCACAAACATTCCTGGAGCCAAGAAGATGGAAACGATAGACCCGAGGCCTTGGGCGTACCACTGTTTGACGGGGGAAGTTCCTAACAAGAAACCAGTACGGAAGTCAGAAGTCAGTGAAAATGCGACATCGGCAGCTCCGGAGGCCAGGCCGCCAGCGACCAAGTTGACTCGCTGCGCATCTTTGATCGTGAAGCCGTTATTTTTTGTAGCAGCACCAAAAACGAGCTGACTGGCTTTCGATGCGGCCGTCAGTGGAGTATTATCTGTTACGGCGCCAATTTGAACGGCGAGCTTAAAATAGCATATGTTAGCTTCTTAGTTCTACGTTGGGGGGGTTCTACCTTAGCCCTTGGAGGTTAGAAAATAATGGAGTCGTTCGACTTACTGCTAGTCGTTAGCAACTATAGATGAAAAATGACAAACACCATTGGGGGTAATACATACCGAAGGAGAACATGACACCTAAGACGCAAGCCAAGACAGTCAGGCCTGGATGCATGCCCCATTGTAGGGCGAAGATAACCATGGCCGCGGCAACGGTGAGGACGAGGCCGGTCATCCATAGCCATAATGGCACTTGTTCATGTGGTGGCGCCGGATCCTCGATGATGTTCTCGCTAGCTTTCACCTCCCTCTCGGCGCGTGTAGCAAGGTAGGTAGAGTGCTTGCCATGTTTGGTTAGGACATCGTTGATGTTGAGACAGATCTTCTGCCAGACCACCTTGCCGGCATATCCGATCACCTTATATTGAACGAATAGTTCTGCTATTGATGTTACTACCATGATGAGCACTCCGGGCCAAAGGAGCCAGTAGCGCGGAGATGGGGTTTCGTGTCCCAGATTGCTGAGAGAGGAGAACGAGTACCAATCAGCCCATCGCGGATCGTCCTCAACCTGACGCTTGCCGATGCATTCGCCGTAATGGACGAGGAGAGGCCCAATAATTGCCCAGGCGAGTACAGCACCGCCAAACATAGAGAGGGCAGAGTTCATACCGATAAGGATGCCGCTACCGATGAACGCCGGAGTCCACTCGAACCACCAACCCCAACTCTCGATATTCATGGCCCAGCTAGTATACTAATATATAAAAGATATTCGCGTCAGCTTCCTAATCCTACCCTTCCAAAATGTTTCAACCTTCCTTTTTGCAGGAATGTTATAGGACTTTTGACTTACACCACTCCAGATGTGGATCCAGGTAAAGAAATGCCAGTCATACAAGATACCGACAGCATAGTATGATGCCACCCGTTGGACGAGGGCAGCCATGAAAGACCAGCTGAGGGCTTTGAGTTTGCTGAGAGCCTCCGCGGCACCCGTGGCACCGGCGTGCATCGACCTGATGGTGAGAGCTACGGCAGTAGCAGTAGGAAAGAGCAACTTCAACTCCCGACCAACTTGGATGATGAAGAACTTTCGGAGAGGGGCGACGAAGAATAGACCAAAGAACGAGCAGACAAGAGTAATGGTAATAATTGCGCCAAATTGGTCCCTAGGGACGCCCACCTGCGCGTGGAGTTGGTACATGGCCGGTATACCTGCAACGAAGATACCTGCGATTCCACCAGCACCCTGTGCTGCAGCCTGGATGATGCTGTTCTCTTGGGGGCCGAAAGAACCGCCGATAATAGGAATTGTAGTCTTCGAAGCGAGCTTAATGATTCCGTATCCGAAAATCGCTCCAAACATAGAGGCCGCGAAGGTAAACCCAGTTTTCAACCCTATCGTATAATTAGCGAATTGCATTCACTCTAACGAACCTGCAATTTAAGAAGCTTACCCAGATATAAGTTAGAGGCGTTAACAAGACTGCCCAAGATGATACCAACTATAACAGCGCGGGCCGTTAGGGGATCATGCTCGTCGGCAATGCTGCCATCCATCTTTAGGGGCACGTAAAGGTCGAGATCCTCTTCGATGGCCTGGACGTCTACATCGACGATGTTGACTTTCTCGTCACCCTCTTTTCCTACAACCGACGTCTTCTCCATGTTGTCGACGACCTCCGCCGGGCGGGCTTCAGTCGAAGCCATAGCCGCCGATGTCTAATCAGAGACGAAAGCTATGTGAACTGATGGGTTGGGTATCTTTGGGGGGGGAAGGGGGACTCGAGACAGGATGTGTTCCACGCAGAAGGAACGACATGCGTCTCTAATATACCTACCTACTGGCAACTCTCGCTACCGATAAAGTTCAAGGTCCCCACGTTACATCGCAACCGCCGCGCAACATTCCTCAAGGCGTTGTGTTCCAAGCCCCAGGTCCCAGTTCAGTGATCTCTATCTAGGCTAGGTGGGCCGACAGTTTCCACTAACAGAGATAAGATATTAAGCAGGTGTACTGGTCCCGGTGAATGCCAGATTAGGTAGGCGGGCAAAGCAGAGTAGTATATCTATACGATCCACCAATACGAGTCTCATTGAGAAAATAATTCCAACGGATCTTGTTCAGCTAGGAGACCACAATATAAAGCTGTATCGGGAAGGTGAGGGCAGCAACCGGTTCGATTCGACTAGCTACTCCCCATGCAACCATTGATGCAGTACAGACGTCTCGGGACATGGGCCAACCGCAATCAACCATACCCTTACTTCATGGGATATGTCGTCTCAACCTAACCCTACAACAAATAAGTAAAGATGGAGAATTCCTCTACATCAAATCTACCTACAAAACTACTATATTAACCTAGTACCTACGTTCAAACTACCGGGCTAAACTCGTGAAACCACAACCTAACCTACCTATATCGTATTCTTCTTTGCCACGTACAAGACCCCGAATTTAAATCTAGCTCATTGAAGGGTCGTATCTCACGCCCTCCCTCCCGCGACCCTCTTACTGGATTGTGTTGGTGCATTATCCCGGGAGAATTGGCTGATTGGAGCTGGCGAATAGAAATAAGTATCCTGGGATTGGGGCGCCATGGTTTCGACATGGGTCGCGTGGATTTGGAACCAAGATAAGGGACGCGGAGGTGTGGCGTTGACCGAAGCATGAGCTTGCTTTGACCTTGTCCGTTATCCTTGCCTATTGGACACGCGACAGCAACTCCCGATATTAGTAAGGAAGCGGCGTAAATGCTCGACGGTCAAACCATACTCGGTTGCTGCACAGAAATCCATACAGTTCAGCTTGTACGCCTGTGTTAATACCAGGCTGTCTCACTCAAATCCTTCTCGACTAGTATACTCTTCTCCCCTATCACCTGCTGAAAACTTGCCTCGCGTACGATATTAGATCTTGTTACATCGCGTTATCGAGCAGTTCTTCTGGAATGGTTACTAGAAGGTGAAGTCAACCAGGGCGATAAGTGAATTGCCTATTCAAGAATTATTGGTATGTAAGGGAGGGAGTTTGAGCAGATATGCTTAGCTGTCGGTTCAATTAATAGGTAGACAAGCAGATCAGCGGCAATAAATTAATAGCCAGTCCCGGACAAGAAGGTACTCATCGACTAGTAGGACCATTTATTATTTATTACTAGGGCAGTATGTATGATTTCTCATCATCCAGTTACTTCCTCGGCGCAAATTCAAAGTATGTGCATGAGCATGAGGAGTTGAATACGATTTTCATATGCACTCTATATGTATTAACCAACTTCCCCGATCACAGCGTCAAACTAACAAACGGCCCGCTGGTCATGCGACAAAGGATATTACAAATATTCCATCAATAAGTTAATTACGAATCGACGTATCACCGCCAATTGGTAGGATACCTATCTTACCAAGGTACTTGGCGGCACCCAGCGACGGGAAGCCTACGGCCGCCCTTCTTTGATCCGTCTTGGCGCGGTACGAGCACTGGCGACAACATCCTGTGTCTGTAACAGGATACGATTCTGATGAGGTATTAACTGTACAGACCTTATACATACTTCCACATATTCCTCTTACTTGATTTCACTTTTTCGAGATCGCTTTTATCCGATACCTAGCTTGTTCCCGCGTCTCAATTACTTCTTCCGAATCTAGTTGGTACTCCGAAGCTATAGATAACAAGCTTTCACACCCGCGCCGTCGAAATCCACGCCAAAGTTGGATTAGACCCACCGTTTATATTATGTATCTAGATTTTCCATCTATATCCTTATTGGTCTGCGTGTTTGAAGTTTGCAACAGCAAGGTACAACGAGTTGCGCGAAGTATTCTTTGGATAGACTTGCCCAAGAGCCGTCTAATACATCCCCAGCACGAAGGGAATGTCTGTGCCTCCCGTGCCAAGTGGAAACTGAAAATTCCTGCTCCAATTACATTCCTCTGGACCCTTGTTGCAGTGCAGGCCCCACTGATTAAACCAGTGAGTATCAATGTTTAGGTATTGATATTCATTCATGAGAGCCCTCTCGCTCCGTTAGAAACCCCTAGTTATCATGTTGATATGGGTGCCTAGATATATGTCACAGGTGTTATCCCTTACTTGTTAGTTAGAGATTTTGCGTTAAGTTTAGATACGTTTCCCCTTCTCCAGCTATTAAAAAAAACAAAAAAAAAAGCTCCTTTAGCACTGAAGTATTTTCTAGCCGGTGAAGGGGAAAAGTACCCAGGTATATTCTCATTCGATATAGAACCATCTTGTTCGTATTCGAAGGATAGGTGGTGACAATGGGTATCTATTCTTTTGCTAAGACATATGGAACATCTTATCACAATCTCCTACGAGTCACTTCTCGATTGACGCAGGTTGGTTGAGATTATAGTAGTTGGTTGGAAATTTAGAGCTACTTGGGAATGATAGGAATGCAAGGCACAGGACGATAGATTAAAGGAAACGAAAACTTAGTAGAGGGTTGATATTTGCAATATACCGGTACGCGTATTGGCAACCCTTGAGTCCTATAGCTAATAGGCACAGCTCCTCAGATCATAGTTTTCCATTGTAGATACACAGCGAAGCAAACCAGCGTATTATATAGATTTGTGATACAACTAAGCTTTGTAGCTTTCCGTAGATGGCAGGTAGTGAATATATCTCATGCGTATACAAAAATTCCGTTAGACTATAAAGAAAATTTATTCACTTAAAGCGGGTGTCACGAGAATTCATGACCTCAGGTTGATGGTTATCTAGTGCTACGGACCCGTGTGAGAAAGCGACAAATCTTGGAATTCGCCCCTTTTCGTACTTGGAAAATTTAGCTCTGAGCTATGAGACACCAATAAGACGACACACTTTCAGCCCTATTTATATTGATCACGATAAAGACTTCCACAGAACATCACACTGCCAGCAACCGTCTCGGTGCTCCTTCGGTGTCATAGCTGGTAGGATGACGTTGTCTTGTACGACCTACCTAGCTGAAGAAAGGGAACAACCCCCTATCATCACATGTGCAACGTCCCTACCACGCAAATTCTTATCTTAGGCAAGTTTCGAGGCAATGCTGATCTCATGGCATAGCGCCAGTTAAGCAACGTTTTATTGTAAGCACTAGATAGCTCGATGTCTCTGCCTGGGACGTGCTAGACGAGCTGTCGATTAGATTTGGCAATCCGAGCCGATACAGTAAATGAGAGGGGGCCAAATCACTAAACATACCAACACTCAGGTTACGCGAGATAACCCAGAAGCGGGATGGCCTCGTTAACCCGAGCGAGGAGGACAGAATATAAGTAATAATTATTTTCAACGTGTATGTTAGGTGGAAAAGGCAAAGATTATAGATTCAACTGTCAAAAATACAAATGTAGAATGTTAGCAGTTTGCTGTACCTTTTATTCTACGAGGTGGTTGGTCTAATATAAAACTCAACTGATATCGTGCAAAGTTATATAGGTAGGTATATATGATTACATATATGATCTATATTGACTACTAAGACTCTAGACAACTTAGTAGAAAGTCACCTAACTAGCTCCTTTTATATCTGGTCTCTTTGTTGAAGGCAAATGCCGAACGAAAGACAGTGTGTACTACCTTCTAGGTTATATCTTTCTACCACGATTTTACATATATTAGTAAAGACTATGCAACGAGCAATTTAGAATAAGCGCCATGCGAGTCTTATAGGCTCCCCCTTTTTCATTATCCGAGCTAAAACCCTACCCTAGTATTCTATTTTATACCGCGCAAAGATTGCATAACAACCCCCCCTAAGTTACTTAGGTACCTACCTAGATATTACCAGAACTTAGATTCCAGATATCTCTGATGAGTAGGTTCGTCGCGACCAACTCCTATACCGAATCGTGCCCCTTAAAGCAGAGCAGATTGCTGACGGCATGGTATTACCTCTGAAATCTTGCCTGTGCAACATCTTCGTAACCCTAAGCCAAGTCTGAAGTGATAATAAGAGGGTTGCTTCCTCTTTCGTCCTTGCAACATCTATTGAAGAACATCTGGTATTCGCCAAGTAAGCATTTATTTCTCAATCTACGTCCATAGATATCATTTCGCGTGAATACCGTAGACAACAGGTATAGGTCTGAAGACACTAAACTCCTGGCCTGTGACTACCAGGGTACCAGGAATCTGAGGATGCCAGTGGAGCTCCTTAGCATGCTCGGAGATGTGTTCGAAGAGGAGCTGGGGCGGCATGTCCTTAACACCGGCGGTATCCTTACTCTCCTCGTCGTCCAGCTCGACAGACAAATCCCATAGGGTAACCTTATGATCACCTGCGGCGACGGCCACCATACTATCGTCCGTAGGGTGCCACTCGACGCTGGTGATCTGCTCCTTGTGGTAGCTGAAGCTGGCGATGGGGCTCGGCTTTAGCGCGCCGCCCTTCCACTGCCGAAGATCCCATACGCCCCAAACACCGTCATCGGCGCCCGTCGCGAGGAGGTGGGTTGTTAGGCGTGACCACGACATCACATTCACATCTACCGAGCTGACCTGTACTGTGATGGCGGGTTTCCGGCTCTTGCTGCGAACATCCCATACGCGCACTGTGCCGTCACTGGACGCGGATGCGAACACGGATGCCTCTTGCGGGCTCCACTGGATTTCCTCTACGCTGCTGGTGTGCCCCTGGAACGCGCGTGTGTCCGTGACCCAACCCCCGCCATCTGTGCGCGTCGTGACGTATATTAGGCCGTCGTTGTCACCGGTAAGTAGCTTACCACCAGGCACCATAGGTGACCAATCAAGCGCATAACCTTCCGACTTATGGGCTCGGATTGTAGAAAGGGGCTTGTTCTGCTGAGGCGTGATAACGGTGCCAGGGTTGTCAAAAGAAGCTAGATGAGGGGTAACGTCGTGTATGAAGATGCTGTTAGACTCAGTCATAGTCGCAGTGAGAGTAATGGGTGGTTTCGAAGGGTCTTGGGAGGGAATCTGGTGGCTGCGGATGCGGTTTGTAGTCGAGGTTAGTGGTATTGACTTGGACTCGAGAATGGGGTCTAAGTCTTCATTGTCGGAGTCTTCGTCATCTTCAGACTCAGAGTCCTGTCCATCTTTCTGCATGCGACTCAAACCGCTAAACTTCATGATCATAAGCTGGTTCTCCTTCTCGCGCCTGCTTTCGGCTTGGGTGCCGGCGACGGTGTACATGGTGGCAGGGTAGGCTTTTTCTCGGTTATCGCCAAGACTATCGCGGACGATGTCAAAGGAGAGGCAGGGCCAAGGGGTACTGAGGTTATGAAGCATTTCGTAGGTGCCCAGGTCTGGAGAGAGATGTTGGCCGGCCTCAAGCTTATTGCGCCCAACGATGAAAGTGCTGTCGTCGACATCCATGGCACCGGCTGCATTTTCTTCTGCCTCGCGCTCTGCGTCAGGCCTACCGTCAACACCAGCCTCGAAAATCTCGTCCTCGCTCTCAAACTCATCCTCGAATTCATCGGCAAATTCGCCCATTTCCTTATCGTCTAAATCCATAAGCTCGGGACGGACCCCTCCCTTCAGAGGGGCATGCTCGTTCCCAACTTCTGCCGTACGTTTAGACATAATGTCTAATAATTCGTAAGCCGCCAATTATTTATCGAGTTTTACACAAAGAAAAGTTAGAGTTGCTAATTTAAAACGTAGCTCGGAAGTGGTCAATCGCGATTGCCTCGCCACGCACATGAGATAAAAATAAAAACAATAATTTTTTTTTCTATGCCCCTCGGCAACCCCGCGATCTGTGGCTGTTGTTCAGGGGTTTAACAGGAGTGGGGCCCACGAGCTTCTTATCGATAGACTATGTACCTCTTGCATCAATTAGTACGTGCAGCTTCTTGATAAGTGTGCCTAGTGGGTCTAGTGGGCCTAGTAGGCCTAGTAGGCAATACCTGAGACTTTTCCCACTTAACTTTTTAAAGTTGACAGCTAGAACAGCTTATACGATATTCACGTCAATGAAGGTTCAATATATACGCAGACATAGACTTCCGTAGTATTATCATTATATAACTACCTAAGGTAGGTAGTTAGTCATACCTCTAGACTCAGCTTTGCTATCTTACTGTATATAATGGCATCTCAAGATCCAACTTGCCAAGTTAGTCAGCCCCGAATATCACTTATCCAATTTCGATTCCAAAGCTGATGTCACAACAGGCAGTGAACTTGTCTGATGGCCAGCCGTGTACAGCTGTCGCTACGACATGGGAGAACCTTTTTTGCAGGTTTCACGGGAAGCAGTGCCATGGCCTATATATCGGCTATAAGAGACGAAATGCTAGACTGGATGCTCTGTCGGACAATGCCCCCCTTTATCTAAAATCAGCTAAGGTTCCACTAGCCAACGAAACATTTGGAGATGTCAGCGATGAGACTGTCTTGCGGGAGATACATGCTCATCTCTATCAAGAATATGTACTTCTTGGAAAGGTGATTGACGCGCGGAAGCTTCATCATAAGCACTTCTACCCGCTCCAGATGGACTATGGCCACCAGGCTTATCTGGATACTCTTTCTAGTAGGCGTCATATCGTCTTGCGATCGCTTGAGAAGCTCGAGACGCGCACTGCTCAGGTTCTTTATGAGAAAGAAAAAGGGTACAAATGGGTCCGCCAAGTCCAACTAGAAGAAGAGGCGACTCGTGAAAAAGAATCCAAGAAAGCCAAGCTCGAGGCAGCCATGTTTAAGCGTCACTGGAAGAAGATGCAGACTCGCTTGCGAGCCCAGCGCAAGAAGGAAGAAAAGCAGCGCCAAGATGCCTATCTCGAAACGGCCTACCAGGAACGCATGTCTATGTCAGTTGATAGCGAAGACGACGCAGAAATGTGGGATCCCATCGAAGATGTCGTTGATGACGAGCGCAGTCGATATGTTGATCTTATAAAACATTTCCTATGGATGGAGGTCCTCGCTGACATCGACGAAAGCGAGAGTTCTACTCGGAAAACTGCCGATTCCTCTGACCCTGCCGTCAGCATGGAAAAGCTCGCAATTTCCGAGGAGAAGCAGCCCAAAAAATCAAAGAAGAAGGCGAAATCCAAAGCAACAAAACCTGTACCTATAATATATAAAACTAAGCCCCAGGGAGGCACCGCCTCGTCCCGCGATCGTCTGACAGGCCAAAGCCGAATCATGGAGTTGATAGATGATGATGCGGAGCCACTAGGGGAGCTCCCAGAGCCAGACAAGAGCAATATCGAGACTGAGTCTGAAATGAGAAAACGCCTTAAAGAAGGCGTAGAAAAGAACTACAACGAAATCGAGGGTCCGATTTTAGTTGGAACCTTGGAAAATCCCCACGGCACCCACCTTAGGACAACTCCCTTAGCAGACGAAGAGATTGATTCTCTCATGAGAGACATAAAGGAGATTAAGCTGTTCTTATTCTGTCGTCTCCTCTTATCACGTGCCTCATTACTCCCTGCGGCTGTGTGATCCTCGAGTGTGGAAGCGTTCCTTAGTGACCCTGAAATTACCGAATCCGATCTCCGGGATCTCTGCCTCAAAGTAGAACAGCCTAGTCTTCAGGACATTCGGGATGCGTGTGCGGATCTTATTAGGGGAGACGAGCCTGAGATAGAGGAGGAGGATGAGGACGCCCTCGAGGAAAAGTCATTCGAAGACGTTATACTCCAAGAACATCGATATGGCCACCTCCAGAGCCCTGCATGGTTCCTGTCTAACATGATTACCCAGCGTCAGAAACTCATTGGCAGTGGTGAACTTGCAAAGTTTAGGAAAGAATTTAGCAGGAAATCCCGTAAGCAGGGCAATATGAAAATTCATATCTGTGGTAAAAGCATCTGGAACTATTCAAGCGAAAACTCCATGTCTCGAAATGGCTGGCTTCAGTTCTCTGTCATGGCAAAAGACTGCGACTTAAAGCATGCCGTCCAGCTCTGTAGAAACTGGGACGAATTCTCACAGCTCAACTTCCTTACCGTTTGGCAATACTTCCCGGCGTCGAACTGGGTTTCTTGGGGAAGCGATAGGTTAACGCAACAGCTACATGAGCTTGTAAGTATCGTCTATTTCCCCTTTCTCTTTTCTTTCTACCCTAGCCGTATAACCCATGCAATTGCTTAGGATATATTTCTAAGCCAAACGTTGGGAATAATACTCTAACTGTAGAGCAGGGGTTCTTCCCCTATTTCAAGGATTTCGAGGCCCGGAAGCATAGCCGGCATTTTCAGATTGGTGCTCGGAGCCAGCACCGGCGCCAGCACAATATTGTCGAAGCTAGAAACATTGTTGTCGGCCACATGAGACGCAACGACTCGGTGACTCGCCGTTTTCTACAATATTGTACGATGCGCGCCGGTGAGCTGCTCGTCCTTGTGCAAGATGGCAAGACAGGAAAAATAATTACCGCCCCTGAAGAGGAGCATCTGTGGACCCTACGCCGTAAGGAAGGACTTGGTCGCGCCTCGAAAAATGAGTGGGATATACTACTCGAGGTTGGCCCCGAGTACTTTGACATGGTGGACATACTTAGAGAATGGCGCCTGGGCTTCGAAGATTATTATGAAGTCTGGTTATGGGACTTTGTCCCTTGTAACGAACCTATACTTCTTTACAACATAATCGTTACGGTATGGCAAACACGTATATACAGGTTATCCCAGTGCTAACGTTGCCTAGGAACTCCGAAAAGCATGGAGGGTGGCCAAACCTTTTGACGTGTATCGGCACAGAGAGCCATTCCTGAGCGGTCTCACAAGAGATAAAGAGACGATGCGTGTTCGTTCTATCCGGCCGGGAGAGCAAGTCGCAAGCTTGTGGGATGATGTCAACGATCCGTTAAACACATTTCTCATAACGGACGTAGTGAATAAAACGGTCCTCGAAACGAGCGGCGAGGTCCATGTCGATTCTTCCCCGTACCTATTCTACAATGAAGCCGATGCTGCCGAGGACATGATTCTCTTTTCCGATGAACTCATCACACCTAATCGAAACGTGCCTTTTAGGGAAGTTACAAACTCGATCACTCGGCTGGAAACGACGCCAGCTACGATGATTAATGTCCTAGCCGAGGGAGCTAGAGAGATGAGCAAGCGGGCCAAAGACCTGTCTCACCTCCCTGACTCTGACGACGACGAGGACTGGAGCACAGATCTCGAATCCGATAGCGACAGCGATGAAGAGAAGAAAATTGTAACCCACTGGAGCCTACCACAGATATGGGAAGACGCGATCGCAATGATCAATCATAACCATATTAGTAGCGAGAAGAAAAAACTACTACGTCGAGTCGGGCTTCTGACCGAGTCCTCAGAGGTCATTCGTGGCGGTATTAATAGCCTTGACGGCGTAGAATCCAAGTTGAAAGAATCCGATAAAATCATGGTGATGGAAAGGGATCGTGGTGATGGTAAGTCAAATCTGCTATCCGGCGACAACAAACTTTGCTAATAGTCCATTTATAGCATTTATCGAGGCATTCCATGCCGGAGACTTGGAACCAGGTGCGCAAGAGAAATATGCCGAAACCCGCAAGATCCTCGGTGGTATCCTCGGGTCTCACCAGACCAGCGAATCGACAGACTGGGTTTGGTTTCTAGTTGACATGCTCGACTGGCTCGGGCTTAGAACCGATTATAAGGACTACACGCGCGATTCACGTGCAGGCTGGCCACATCCGTTCATTGCACAGGACATAATCAAATCGTTCGTTTCCATGGCCATGTTTTTCCCAAGTCTGGAGTTGTGTAGACCTGTGACAGACTTTTTCGAGTCGGAAAACGGGCGAAAGTATAAGGATACCTCCCTTCTTAAGCTGGACGAGCGCGCCAAGAAACTCCCTGATTGCCGTATGAGGACGAGCTTCAAGTATCGACCAAAAGAGTTCTGGAGGGAATGGGAGGGTGTACTGAAGGAAGCCAAGACAAAGCATAAATTCTATGCGGATATATACCCGATGGAATGGAGCGTTGCCATTCGGCCTATCATTGCGAAGTGTAAGTTTCATGTCTTCATATAGTTAACTCACAAGTTCATTGCTGATCTTATTTTAAGTATACCTCGCCGGAGTCATCGCTCCGGGATATTTGCAAAACGATCCGCTGGTTGTTCCCGGCTTTGCCGTTGCCAACTCTGAGCCGCACCGCCCAGGCAAGCTGGATCTATTCATGGACTACGCCGACCGGCAGAAGGCGATCCAGTACCCTCAGAATATCCCAGGCTTCGTCAGTCCCGATAAGTGGCCTGTCTTCCTCCCGCTTGCCCGGAATTTTGCCTCTAAGCACAATAAGTCAAGATTCGCGGTCCTCCGCATTTGGTCGGCACCGCACTTCTACCCAGCAATGCTGGGTGGCTGGAACCGGCAAGCCACAGCGTTTCTTGACAGCATAGCACGGTCCTGGATCTGGAAGTTCATCCCTAAGGACATGCCAGTCAGCGAATGGAGTATGTACAATACTATGAAAATGCGCCTCGAGCTTCTAAAAGAGGAGCTTGGGGTCGGAGAACGTGTCGTGCACCGCAGCGAGACTATCCTCGTTATGGGTCTTGACGAGGTCGAACTACTGAAGTACGTCACAGCAGTTGTATTTGCAATTCAGACGAAACCATGGCACCGAGAGATCGATCTCTGGAAGAGTTTTGTTAACGTTGATTTGGAGTTTCTGGAGGGATTGGATCCATACTGGTTGGACTGATTATACCATTTAGGTAGAGCAAGGGCCAGTTACGGAAAATATAGGAGTAAAAAGAACTTGAATGCTTACCTACCTACCTAACCTGCCTACCTGCCTATATAAACCCACGCCAGATATTTCATAAGCCGCCCTCTTTGACAATGCGTGTAAGTGATATCTGCTATCTATTATCTACATGGCAAATCCAGTCAGCATTATAAATCGCAGCCCAGACTACCTAACCTAGGTACGTTACCATGCAGTTAGTTTACTGTCCAAACACGAAACTCCCGGTAATGTTGTCCGAGGACTCCGAGGTCTCCGAGCCGAGACACGTCGTAATATAACCTATTAGCATTAGACCCCGTGTTTGATCCTTTCCGTACGGTCCCGAGAACGTTGTAATGTATCTTAGTTTTGTTACCGTTAACCATCTAGGTATCATAATCGTACCCACGAGGTCATGTATAAATACCTACCTACCTACCTACTTGTCAGTTAACTTGATGCCTAAGGCGGATAATCGTCCTAACTGCACAACATCACTCGATAAATGGAATAAGTGTTTCACCACACCATCCATTTTATTTTGATAAAGGCAGTTTGGGCGAAATACATACTAAACCTGCAGACATCATTTATAATGGACATCGCCAAGATAATGGCACCGGCCGTCGAGCTCTTCCGGCAGAATCGAACCCTCTGTACAGCTATCGCTGCCATAGTAGCTGCCGGTGGCGCTGCCTCGGTCTTCTCCCTCATCGTGGCCGATTACCGTGCCTGGTATGCGCTCGGTCCTAACGGCCTGCCCCTTAACATCTTCGGATACCTATTCCAATCGATCAGCCGTTCTTTCGCTCGATTAGACACTCGCGTACCCGCGCCCTATGACAACGCCAAACTAACACGGTCGGCGCGATACGGGCCATTAAGCCAGCGCTCATTCTTCTCCGGCTCGATACCACCGCGCAAGGGGACGCGGCCTGAGATACCCACGTTTGTCGGCCCGCACCGGCAGACATCACAGCAAGCCACACCCGCGATGCGGGCCAGACAGGAGTCCTTCCTAGACGCGCTCGCCACAGCCAATCCATCACTGATACGAGTCAGACCGTCGAATCTCGAAGGCCCGTTATTCAAAAGTGTATGGCTACAGTCTGACATATCCCTGCGTGACGAGATCAAAAACCTGAACGGCGAGTTTGCGCATTCGCATGCTGAAGGCAGCACGCACATGGTGTTGAGCCTAGCTGATGCTTCTGCCGCTATCGAGCGCGGTTGGTCGGAGCGACATCGCATAAGCGGTGTCGCCAGTATACTGCCATGGGGCTTCGTCATGATATACGCACCACGGGATGATGAGGAGTTTCATATCTGGAAAGAGTTCATGATGGCGAGCGCACGATACGTACTAGGCGGCGAGAAAGAAGTTACAATGCCTTAGGATGTAAGTGAGTAAGACGAGAGAAAATTGAGAACGGTACGAATTGAGATGATGAATGTTATATATCATATATGACTGGGTCATTGAAAAGAAGCTCCTCTCAACAGCGAGCCTGTCCCAACTCCGATATAAATATATCAATATGAAATGTAAAATGTAAAATGCATTGGTATTATTGCAATCTCTTATATCTTATGTACTTCGCCCATGCCTCCGTGTTTGGAGTATATATACGAGGGCCAGATTACAAGATAATAAATATTGCCGCTTGCATTAAAAATAGAGAGCATAGTGATAGAGCTGGCTGTATATGGCTCCGTTTCTCAAGTCTATCTGAATAAGGCCGGCTGAATATTTTCTAGGTACCTGGGCATTCTTGGTGTTAAATATCACATCATCTTCTAGGAACTCGCCTTGGGTTCCATAATGCTAGCTCTTGGATATGCTCTCGCCATATCTGAATCGAGTCCTGAGACATAGCACTATCGATACGAAACCCCGTTGTATCGAATCCGTAAAGGTATGGCTTTCCGTCCGCGTAGCAAGATGTTTCTTGCTCTATAGGCAGGGTGCCGTTGAGGACGAATGCCAGCATGATGGAGTCGGTGCAGCTGGATTTGTCCCTGGAAGAATGTCCATAGCCGTGATGAACAATTAACCTAGCGTTCTTGCCCATTTCATTCAAAAGATTTTTCCCGTTCCGTAAAGGGGTTGCCGGGTCGTGCGTCTCCGCGATTAGCAGCAAAGGATTCTTGAGCGTGTGGTTTAGGTCGCCTCGGTAAAGTTCAGCAGGCGGAGGCCAGTAGGTGCGGAAATGTTGGCAGGGGAGGACGCTAAAGAACTCCTCATCCCCTGATATCCAAGATCGGGTGGTCATGTTAGCCCAGAGCGACTGCCACCAGAGCAGGCCGTCTGGCGGCAAGGGGTCATCATATGAGTCTGCACAGATAACTAAGGGGCCTAGCTCGTGGGACCGAGGCCGAGGGGAGGTCGGACATGAGATCGAAGGGTGATAATCCCATTCCGAATGTTCAAGAAAGGCTGTAGCTAGTGTAGAATTTCCTGCCTCTAGTTCGTATAACATCTGGGCCAGCGCAGGCCAACTGTTGGCATTGTGTAAGGCGCCATATATAACAGATACGATAGCCGAGTATGTAATGAGAGAAGGTCCGCTCGAGTCGAGATATCCCGTGATGGGTCGCTGGCCAAGTGAAACCAGCAAGTTCTTCATTCGATCCTCTAAGTCCTGTAACGACACGGGCTCTAAACCTCTGGGTTGTGATAGGGCACAGTATTTTGGGCCGGCGTTAAGACACTCGCCTAGAAATCCGTCACGCCAAACATCAGTAGTATTATCCAGCGCAAACCATCCAAAACCGCCGAGTTGACGATGGTCACGAACATATTCCAGAGCGTCTAGAATCAAGCGGCCCACGCTATGTGGAAACATATTAGCATATGTTTGACCGATGCTGGTGCCATAACTAACGAGATAGCCAGTTACTTCGTCTTCGTCGAGCGCTTTACGGATTTCTTCCATGTCACGCGCAACGAAGGCCGTGCTGAGAAACCGGGGAATATCGCCATATTTTTCCTTGCAGGCATGAAATGTAGCATTGTTCATAGCGTCAGCGAGTTCAAGTTTGACTTGGGGTGATCCGGCCGCTTCACGGTACTGTCCCGTCAGCATAGACCAGCGGTCCCTGAAAGCATCGTAGGGGAAGCATGCTATAGAAGGCAATGACGCGTTGACTCCTCGCGGATCCCATCCCAAGATGTCAAACTTGCCATCGCTCAAGCGCTTCGTGAGGTTCTCCGCAGCTCTCCAGACTAGCGATGTGCCGCTCGCGCCCGGACCGCCAGGATCAACAATGATGGTCCGATCGCTCTTGGATCCCACGGTTGGAGAACTGGGCTGCGCCGTATCAACACGCGCAAGGCCGGAAACTTGATATTTGGTTACCGCGAGCCGAACAATACGAGATTCGGATTTATTAGTGTAATCTAGGGGGACCTCGAGGTAACCACAAAGATAGATCCCCCGTTCGGAATACGGATCTTTGCCCTGGACGTTCTGCTCTGCCGTCGGTGCCCCCCAGCTCCAGTGTTGAGGATTTGGGTCGAAAAGGCGAGCCCAGCTCCGGACCGGGTTAGAATCATCGAGTGCGGGTAGTAAGGTCGTATTAGTGCAGGGAATGAAGTGGAATTGGTCGTCGGGGAGTGGAAACCGACCGTAGGGAGACAGGGTATAAGGCTGTATTGAAGCACCTACGAGGCCATGGTAATACTGTTGGCGAAATCCTTCATACGATAGGTTTGGGAGGTGGTTATACAAAGCAACAATCCCGACTAGACTAATTGTAACTAATGCTTTCGGCCATGATGGTCTACATTGCGAATATAGGTTTAAATCACCTAAAGACGACGACTTCTCCATCGTGGCAACCGATGAGAGATAGTAAGATATCACCGACTCATGATGATGGATGAGGTTTACTAATATGTTTGCTCGGCGATAGCATATAAGGAATGGAGAGACGTTGGAGTTCGTTACCTTCGGCTATTGATGGGTTTCATATCCCTTTATCCCTTTATCCCTTTATGTTTGTCACAGTAAGAATTCGGTGCGGGTGCGGGTGCGGGGGCGGATACTCTCCCAGATATATTCTTCCAGATATACTCTTCCAGTCGGTGCACTTATATACCTAGTTATGCCATCTCCCCTTGATTAATATTTTTTTTGGCTGTTGATTAATAATTAGCATTGCTATCGTCATACAATTTCACTTAAGCTCGTTGATTACAACAACAGGTTAATTATAACGTAAAATATAACAAGGCCAAGCTCACCAATATGACTGCCTCGTTAGCATTTATGACGGAATCAAGGCTAAAATGGTGAAATGACTTATTGTAAATATATTACTGGCATGCTGTCTAGATTGTAGCAATGATTTCTTCCTGTCTTGTCTAACTTTGGTATCATATATCTCCCTACCTCTGCCAGTACTATCCAGATATCCAGATATCCAGATATCCAGATATCCAAATATCCAAATATCCAGATATATTTATAGATATATTTGTCTACATGGGTATCCGCCTGATTTCCTCGGCGGTCCAATACTTCCTCATGTTCTCAGCACCCAGCGTCGCAACCTCTTGATCGAGATGGGTCCAAAGTATGGTTCCCCATTTCTCCATTTGTGCTTTTAGCGTTCCCATGTCTAGATCCTGCTCGCCGTCGCGACAACTCCTAAGGTACTTGCGCATACCCTCCATGCCGTCGTGAATCTCGCGGTGTTGCCGCAACAGCTCTGCTGCATTCTTACCACCTTTCCCGTCATTTCGGAACTCGGGCATCCGCCGAGCTAGTATAGGGAATATGTATGTCTCCTCGATGTTGTGGTGCACTTCGAGCTGGGCTACGAACGCCAATCCTTCGCTAATGATAGACCGTCCACTTCGCGACGACGATTTGTTTTTGCTACCGTTCCCCGCGCAGGCCGCCGTCCATAACGTATTCCACGCCGTACGGAAATGGGCGTGGAATAGATCCATATGTTCGGCTAGACGATTGTAGGCACGGAACTCAGCTCCCTTGAGAGGCGGAAGTTTATTCTCGTCCCTTTCCTGCTTCGTCTCCTCATCCTGCCTTTCTTTCGGGATCGTGGCGGCGTCCTTGGAGCTGCTGCTAGGGGCTGCTAAGGGGTCGCTCGGCGAAGACGTGTCGGTAGACGACATATTGGTGGCGATGAGACGGATGCGATGCACGAGGTTATTTCGTGAAAGAGATATCGGCCGAGAACGAATCCTGATTAGAGATTGATGATGATGATGATGATGATGATGATGATGATGATTTCCGACGAGACAGAGTCTAGCAAAAGCACTTGTTATACGTCGTAAAGTCATAGGCGGTTGGTTCGCTTCGTTACTTAAATCACATCGTCACGGGTTGTTTATATACCAGGTACCTCGATATATATACATACATCATATGGAATCACAACATCATTGGAACTTAGTGGCTGTCTCGTATCGAATAAGTCAGCGATTAGAAAGAAGACGTACTGAGATAATTATCTTTAGTAAGACGCTTAGTGGTGCAAAATCAAGTGGGATGTTTCCCCTTTTAAGCTTAGCTCGGACTAGTTTTTTTAGTACTTTAGGTACATAATCCCTTACTTACCTGGGTACCTACCTAGCTGCCTAGGTAGGTAGGTACTTACTATCGATATGCATTTTTAAAATATATCATATGATCATGTGACATTTACTCTGACCATATACCAGTTTGAGACTACATGAGGCTGTTGGCATTGTAGCAAAGTATCACGATATTAAATGTACCGAGTTGCCAAGTAGTATTCAAATACGCTGTATGGCAATAAACAAAGTCAATTCTCTAGTCATAACTACATGACTATCGTAGGTGATCCTCCAGTGACTTTACTAGGCCCATACCGAGGCTTTTTTTAATCATTAAATGTCAAACCTAACCATATGCGGTGGGTACAAACGCGAGAGAGGAAAATAATAAAATCCCATGCCCGAGCAGATGTCTAAGTGCGGACTGCGCCACTTAGTACACCACCTGTAAACTGTGTACCACCAGCCTGTCTTTGACCAGTCCCACCCGTCCTCGGGCCCCCGCGTCCCCCCCGTTGTCCCCCACCCCGGCCGCCTCGCTGGTTCTGTCCGCCTCTCCTGTCGAAGGCGTTGGCTGTACCCTGTGTCCGTTGCTCGAGCGTGCGTTCGTTAGTCTCGATGAGCTGCGCCGCCTTATCCGACAGCGTGAGCGCTAAACTCTGAAGGCGAGACAGCTCTACGCCCTTTCGGAAGATGACCGTTGATGTGACCTGGTCGAGTGCAGCAGCTAGCTCTTCGTGACTGATCATCTTGCTAACAATGGCCGAGACCTTGCGGTCCTCAAGCTCGAACATAGAAGAGAGGGCAGAGATAGCAAGAGTGTCATAGTAGGGAGCATAAGTGAAGAGGTATGTTCGTAGACCCTCTTCTTGGATTTGCTTCGATAGCATGGTCTTGATCTCTTCCGTGTTTGGCATTAAGTCCCATATCTTGATGCTGTGGATGAAGTTGATCGACTTCTTCCATTCGCCAGCAGCCAAAGCACGAGATGCTTGCATGACGTGGTCGCGGGTGTTCTCGGGAGGTCCGGTGAAGATTTGCCGCTCATGATACTCTAACATACGTCGGTAGGTCTTGCTGATAACTCGCTTCTTGATATCTGGCGAGGAGCCGGTTTGAGCGAGGAGTGGAATCTCTAGGAGCATGCTGCAAGTTAGGTAGACACACTCCAGGAGCTCGAGGTTTATGTGCATGTGGAAGGGCAGTTGTCTCTGTTTTTCTAGTCTCTCCTGCTCGGGAGAGACCTGAGCGAAACGCTGGATCATAACGCCCTGAGCTAGCAATTCCTTCTGTCGGCCGCTACCGCAGATTTCCTGCAACGTGTTCTGCGCCTCATACACCAGACCTTTACGGAAAGCGCACAGCCCAACTTGCACTAGGGTTCGGTTGTAGAGTATCTGCGTTTGGACGTCAAAACTGCCAATTGTTTCCTGCAAGTGGGACATAAGCATCATGTCTCGAGCCTTGTAATACTCGTCATGCAGAGCGAGGAAGTATATCTGGCACAGCATCGCACGTGCTCGAATGATACCCTCGCTGTTAACAAACAAGTAATTGCAGAGGACGTTGAGGAGATTAGTAGCATCCGAAATGCTTCCTCTAGGCGTGATAGTAGATTCGACATCTGCGGGCACAGGCTTCCAAGCATTCTCGTCGAGAATCTTGACGACCTGCGCTGGTTTGAAATAAACATGCTCCAATCTTCGCATCACAATGCGGTTTAGACTGTCCTGTGGTGTCTGCAAAGACGTGTCCTTAGAGAGGGTTTCGTAGTACAATAGGCCGCGGAAAATAACATTGTACAAGGAGCCCTCGTCGGTTAGTCGTTCGATATATTCCGAAGTATGAGGATCAATATTTTGTAGTGAACGTGTGAGCTCGTCGTCAAGCCGCTCAACATACGACACAACACTTCCGGGGATTTTAATATACTTCTCTCCCGGTTGCAGCGTGGGTGGCTTCTCGTCGTCATCCCATTCCTCGGCGTTCTCGATCACAATATACTCCCGGTTTGACCCGAGCACTTCGAATAAGGTTGAGATTTCCTTCTCGGCAGATTTCCAGTGTTCCAATGGCATGGATGCTGTACCACCAGAGCCAAGATCAAACCTTGCGGAAACAATAGTTAGAAGGACCTTGATTTGCTGGTATGGAGTAGCGGCAACTTCGAGAAGCTTCTCCATGATTTTGATCTGCTCGATCCGGTCTGTATTCTTCTTACCACGAGACTCCAAGATTGCGCGTAGGTGCTTGAAGATGCTTTCAGGTGTGAACAGAAGCGTCTTGCCACCCTTTCCGACGGTAGCAAAGCCTTCCTGGTCTTCTTCGACTTCGTCGGCGTATACGTCCGCCTTAGCCTTCTTAGGCTTCGGAACAGGTGTTTCCTCCTCTTCATCTGAAGCGAGGAAATCAAGAGGATCTTCTCTGTACGCATCGACCTGGGTTTGATAATCTTGTTTGAGCTTCTTGATCTTTTGCTTGACGGCATTGAGACCACGGGCGCTCGTGGCGTTCATCTTCTTAGGCGTGACCTTCTGCTTTGAAATCGTCTCGTTCATCGCATCTTCCAATTCGACTATGGCCTTTATGTAGAGCTTCGGTGTCCTTCCGCGCTCGGAAATCTTGGCGGCTTGTCTGTTGAGCTTGTCGAATTCTAAATAGAAGTCGTTAACAAGTATAAACTTGATCAGTGTCTCAATCAACTAAGCTTACCGACGGATACGGCACCCCAATCACTAATCTTTTGACGCTTCTCTATGGTGTCAATTATAGATTCAAGCTCGGCGAACTGCTTGTCTTTTGCGCTCTTGAGGGTTTTGGGAGCGTCATCGTCGCTTTCTTCACTCTCGGAATCATCACCACGTAAGAAACGAGCAGCACCGGATTTTTTGCCACCCTCCTCATCGCTGCTAGATTCTTCTTCGGAATCATCTTCATCTTCATCCTCATCCTCATCCTCCTCTTCAGATTCTTCCTCCTTCGCTTCCTCTTCCTCTTCCTCGGAGTAGAGCTCCTCTTCTTCGGAGCTGCTCTCGGACGAGCTATCGTCGCCACTGCGGAAGAATCGAGACATTTTGTCGGGTGTTTCTCTATTCCTTTTTAAGTGAGTGGGGGACGGATGAATGGGATGCTTTGTGACAACGCGACAATATGTCAATGCAACAAAGTAGGAGTTGCGCGCGTATGCCTGGGAGAAGGCAAAAAGTTGAATGTGGAGGGGCAAAGGCAAATTAAAAAAGGTGCACACAGTTTTTTGGAAATCACAACGAATTTTTGGTGCATGTGGGGTCGGAGGGGTGGGTGAGCCGACTTCAGCAGGCAGCCTGCTAGCTTATCAGCTTATCGAACTCTCCTGATTTTGTGGCCCGTGCCCTACTGCTATCTTATGTCCCTTAGGTAAGCAAGGGGATAATTGTTAATAGGTACCTATGTCTATGTACCTTATACTATGACACTAGAGCATGCAATTTCCAAAGTTATTAGGTGGAATTACCTAGGTACCTAGGTAGATCATGCATAGGTTTGTACCTAACGTATGTGACTCGCTGGTACATGTGTTGACCTAAAGTCCTAAGCTCATTACATAAAACTCTCCAAAATGGGTCAGGCCTGAATGACTCCTTTACTTAATATGGAGCGATCTGGATACTATGAAGATACGAAGAGACCAATCTTGAGGAAGAGAACATTGAAGTTAGTAGGTCAGCAATATGCACCTATGTACACAACTCTCTCCAATGTCCAAAAAAGATCTAGTTTTTGATAAACGTGGTTGAGTACAGCCTCGTCATACTTAACCTACGTAGTTCCTTAAGATAGCCACATAAATAACATAGTACAATGAGATATCAAGCACAATGGAACTTCCATATCAATGTCTTTTAGGCGGTATTGTGTATGTTGGATATCTACGTAAGCATGAACCCACCGTAACGCCACTATGCCGTTGACCAAACGCCGCTATAATGCCGAAACACTAGAAAACCCTGTAGCCCGGCCCGGTGATGTCGACTGTTTTTTTATAAAAATATCAACCTCTATTAATCAAGTGGAGGGAGCTCTATTGAGCAAGATCCAACCAGTCGGGGTGATCTTTAGCACGCCAAGGTTTGATGCCTTTAGGGTTGGCATCGCGACTCTTCTTAGCTTGATCAAAGACCCTCTTGCTCTCCTCGCTGTTGTAAAGGGTATTGAAGTCTTTAATCTGAGTGCTTGCGGTGACGACTGACTTAACGAAACACTCATAGACTTCCTCAGCTACCATGTGTCAGCATACCCAAGTGCAAAAAGAGACAAATACAAGAAAGAAACTAATACAGTACCAGTAGAGTTGTTCGGGATAGCCTCGAGCATGCGCTGGATAGTTGTTCTCAGTTCCCGGCACTGTTTTCCGCCATGTGTCAGTAATACGATGATATGGAAGTATGGAGTATGGGCATTGGCCATTCCTAGTCCAAAAGGTAGGCAAACATTAGAATTTTTTTTTCGCACCTTGATGTGTAGGAGATTCAGCTGCTTCATACTTAGTTCCAGCTGCTCCTCGTCTGGCATTTCTCCTTCTTCCTTACTCCGTCCTGAACCACCAACGCTAGACTTCTTCAACTGACTTCCGACCGCAGCCATTATTTAACCAAACTCCAAAGCATAAGATCAGCAATTCGATTTCTAGATCTTACAACAATAAGCCGGTCAGAACATAAAGCGATTTAGGAATAAGATATAATACCCTCCGAAGTTACGATGGAATACTTGAAGATGGACGGCGATAATCGGCAGCGGGTCGTCAATCCTGGGTTAGAGTTCCAGCCACCGGGACAGACTGGAAACAAGTGGCAGGTACCACCGGCTCAAGCTCAAGCTCAAGCTCAAGTTCAGCCTCAGCCGCCTCAGCCGGAGATGGGCCGAACCTTCCCTGCGCAGATTCAATTGGAAGTGGCCCGTGCACAGAAGAAAGCGCGTACCCACTTGACGCGTAAATGTGGCTACCCATTGCCTCTCAAGCCTCTGCAACCTCTGCAGCCTCACATAGCTCAGGTAAGCAAAGTGCCCGATTTCCTTTTCCCCACCCACCAACCAATTCTTTTCTTCCGCCCCGATCCTCGTCCCCAATTCAACTCTTCCCACTGTCCTACCGCAGCATTCTCCGCGTCAACCTCAGCAAACTCACACGGTGACCAGCAGCCGTATCCGACAACCCACCCCACCGAGAAACCCGAGGCACAGCTTAAGTTTGGAGATAGCCTCACCTACATACCCTCTTCTACTATTCCCTCCCTCTTTTATACTCCACCTTCAACCCCTAGCCGTTCACCCCCAACCGCCAACATTTCGTTCCAACAGCCCCCCCACCACCGTGCGGTCGCCCCGGGCGTCGTCGTCAACGGTAACTCGAGCGCCTTAAACACCCCGCGCCCGGGCCCGACGACAACCCCAGCGACCCCGGTGAATATGCCGAACAACGATCCCGCTCCTTCCGGAGCTCTTCGATCGCCCCCCGAAGGCATATTTTCCAGCTTCGAGGACCTTATCGGTTCCATCCAGCGCGTGGCAAAGGATCAGGGTTTCGGGATCGTGAAGCTTCGGGCCAGCAACTATCGCGACCACAAGCCTACGCGATATGATTTGGTGTGTGACCGCGGCGGCGTCAAGTACAACAGCACTGCCAAGAAGCGTAACCCGAGCACGAGGAAGGTTGATTGCCCTTGGAGGGCGAAAGCTGTGTGCGAGGTTCAGCTCGGCAATCAGTGGCGTTTCCAGGTTCAGTGTGATCAGCACAACCACGAGCCCCGAGTTCATAGCAGCAATCCGGGCCAGGAGAACACACCGACCGCCCAGAGTATACGAAGCCTAACGAATAAGATGGATCGTATGAGCCACGAGATGACACAAGCTTTCGATCGCATCGAGCAGCGCCTAGACGGCATCGAGAAGAGAATCGAGACTATGGAGTCGCGCATGGGTGCGGTGGAAGCGCGCATGTCTAGCATGGAGACCCGAGGAACTGGTATGGATGTGCCCATGGATAACATGGAGATGGGAGAGCCTATGCTAGATGGCACTGTCATGTAGCAACATACGGCGGTCTCGATTTATTAGCCACACCACAAGACACTTCGACAGAAATAACCTGCCAATGGCTTCCGCTGTAGTCATTCCTCAATTGGCAACTAACCCTCTCCAGCCATCTTCGTCATATCGACATAAGTCACAATGAGAGGTTGGCTCTCAACACCTGTTTATCCCCCATGTCCCCCCATGTCCATAATAAGCTACTTAGACATGGCGGTTCCCCCCTTTTTTATTGCGACGGATAGAGGACCAGGCAGAAGCGAAGTTTATTACACTGGCGTTCATCGGGCAGGGCTTAATTATGCGTGTATTCTTTTTCACTGCGATTCGACGCGTTTCGATGGCGCTTTGACTACGACAACAAGGAAAAAAAGCGGATCTGGTTTCTATCATGACTTCTCAGGCGTATGGCAAGTGAGCGATGCTGCTAATTCCTATTTTTCGGGGTGGCTTTACATAGGTCCGGTAAATGCGAAATAAGGCAAGGGGGTTCGTGAACTCTTCTCCATTCAGGGATGCTTGGTAGTGGCAGTTTTATTCGACACTTGCGCCAGATTCGGATTCGAATTCAGATTCGATTGCCTTCAGAGGCTATTTCACATCGGGTGGCAAAAACGAGGGTCCAAACATCGTGGGCACTTAGGTTAGGTATTCACAGATTTTACCGCATTCCGGCGGTTGCTACTTAAATAGCATAAATAGTACTTCTATAGCCATACCAATATGTATATGTTTACACAGCTGTGTTTAGTGTTGCAAAAAGACAAATATCTGTCCGGGAGGTTCTTCCTATGCAATGCTTATTAAATGCTCTTAACGCCTTGACTAATAAATAAGATGTACAAATCACCAGTATATTATGTTACTTCGACTTGATATTTAATACGGTGGGTATGGCACAATAGTTTTCAATAAGGCAACAAATTGGGTACCATATTATTTGCTTATGTAAATCCCGAAATTACTGGCTTCTTTTCCGATTGGCTAGCTATAAGAATTTGATTCCCGAATTGGAAAGACAGTATGCTTAACTCGTGTATATGTTTGTACTGTATTACGTACCACGTGGTTTTATGTTGTTACTTCTTCACGCTTTCATTTTTATACATGCCTTTTAGCTAACTTAATAGTCTATGAAAATAATGTTAGTTTTATACTACTCCTACCATCGGCTGGACATTGTAAGATCAGTAGATATCTTGTTTGATTTTTACAACTTATATTAAACCTCTTTAGGAATTGTAGAAGTGACAGTCTAACCCGAGTTATCTCTAATAGCAAGTCCGCATCAGAGTTAATCTACCTAGCAAGATGTTTAAAGAAAAGGTTTATGAGCTACGAACACTTTGGAATTACTAGTCGGACGCAAACAAGTATATAACTTACTTTAACAAGTAACTTCGTCGTACTATGGTTATTGCTATGTTTTAGTCCCGTTAAATGCATAATACATAATACATAGTCATTCCATTATGGGTACGCTAACATCCGGAAGGATTGACATGCTGGTCACCCGTCACGGTAAGTGGACTTTTTACCGGGTTTACAGACTCCATACAGTATCGACTGATAATATTTATTAGTAAACATGGAACAGACAAGCTAGCTAACCTACTTAGTGTAAGTACATAAAAGATATCGTTATAATGTCTCCACTACAAGCCCATTAGCCTTTTCCTACATAATGTGTAAGTGGCCCAAGTAATTGGGATTACAAGTTACAAACATTTCACGCGGAGGGTCAACTCCAGTTAGGGCTACATCTTTACCGGCAAGCATTCCGAAGCCCGGCTCGGTATAATGGTATTAAGCAATCCGATGCTGCGGCTTGGTGCTGAGGATGAGGCAAACTGATAATTCCCATATTGATGGTTTTAGTTACAGGCATCCCTTGTCGTATCTTGTTACATACGTGTGGATGTTCATTTCTCGGGTTAGGTATGTATATGTAATGGTCTTTGACTAGTGTAGGCACAGTGACATACAAGCAGGGTGAGGGTCACACTATTTAGACCCTTGGAGGCCCGCTAAAGGAGAGGCATTACCCCAGCTTCTTGAGCTTTAAACAACCCTTGTTTAACACATAGGTCAATGCGTAGAGAATTTTCTGTTGCGTGATGTCTGGATGGCCATACTATTTCGTGAGGGGGTCTCACTCCGCTACCGCTGCTTTCACGTTATGTATGTGTTGTGGTAAGACTAATAAGGAATCGAGCACGTTTAGTCGAGACTATTAGCCTTTTCTATGTAATATAATAGAGGGTTCAGAATCGGCCACATAGATAAAGAAGCCAAGTCGAGTATGTATAGAGCTATATGCTCTTAAAGGTCAAAGCTACTACATATACGAAACCTGGCTTATCTATCTACTAGGGTCCTGCTTCGGAGTATTGGTTCATCATAAAAGGTCCCCTGTCTGTCGGACACCTGGTAATACATACGTACCATACCGCTGGTGCTATAGGCCATTGCGACGGGATCAACAGGTGAAAATGGCTACAGTTTGCAAACTTATCTAAACCTGGAACACAATCTTTTCAGCCATCAATTCTGTTTCGCCTTTCAATGATCGATGAATCGTGCCGTTCTATATTCCATCCAAAGGAGTCATTCGTTTCCTCCGTTCATCCGAATGACTTTAGGACGCTATTATGCCCTTCATCTTCCCCATCGAGACCCAAGATCAAAGGGCCATCATAGTCTGCGGCGTTGTGTTTAGCCTCCTAGCGGTGGTATCTGTTGCCCTGCGCGTCTTGGCCAGGCACAGGGCGAATAGGGTGCTCGACTTGAGTGACTTTTTTGTTATTGCAGCTTGCGTATGTTGCCAAAGCTTTGTTCTTGCCAAGCGACTTGGCCAAGAGACATTTGATCATTACTGATGCTGTACTCTAGGTTTTTGCTGTCCTCTATCAAGGCGTGTCTATCTCATGTTCGTATTAGTTCCCAGTGAAGATAGTCTAGGATTGAGAGTTAACGCTTTATACTTGATAGCCGTTCTTATAGGTGGAGTAGGTTATCACACCGATGAAATAAAGAACAGGTTTGGCGTCGAGTCCGGAGCAGAGATATTCCTCCAGGTATGTTTCTCGGCACCATCCACAATGGCTTGCAGTCGATGTGATTTACTAACTCTTGCGGTGGGACGTAGCATACAGTTGCCAACCAGCTACTATGGGCAATTAGCCTCTGTCTTTGCAGAGTTTCAATTCTCATATTATCTACGAGAATCTTCCTGGTACAGAGTTTTATCGTAACCGCCAGAATTACTTACGTTCTTGTCTTCGGATGGTATGTACCTGCCGCATGCCGCATTCTATCAATCATGTATCATATTGCAATACAACTACTAACGGTCCGTAATAAAGGGGGTTAACTGCCATTCTCACCGCATTTCTCCTGTGTAGACCCTTCACCTATAATTGGGATAAATCGATCGAGGGAGGAGTCTGTGGAGACCCGACGGTACCATGGACTGTAACAGGAGTCCTCAACATGATAACTGACCTGATAATTCTTCTCATGCCGATGCCTTATCTGCTAAGGCTTGAGGTATCATGGGAGAAACGACTTCGGCTAGCAGCAATCTTTGGCATATTAGTGTTGTGAGTATTAGTATCGGACTTTCCCATTATGCGCTCCCCCTAATAAATATTGCTTGTAGGCCCTGCATTGTTAGCATCGTCCGTATAGCCGAGATGGTCAAAATGGACTTCAGCGATTTCACATTCACTTCTCCGCATACCATTTTGCTTAGCTCGCTTGAGCCCTGTCTCGGCGTGGTGGCAGCGTGTGCAATGACTATGCGTCCCCTTTTCGGCGGTCGATACTCACCTGACGGAACAGCAAATTTCAGTACTCCGCCTACTGCACCCCTACCGAAGAAAAACAGCAACCGTCGATTCCAACCGCTCACCGAAAACACATCAGAAACACGCCTACGTCCCGAAGAAGTCGGATATCAGGCATCGATAGCGAAATCTCCAGAGCCACTCATGGGTTTCGGCGGCTTAGGTGAGATCGGTCTTGAGATGGGGGCAATTTCGATAAGGCATGAATGGATTGTAAAGGAGGAGCCTCGCCCGAGGAGTTCAGATACGGAAAAGGACAAGAGTCTAAGATGATATGATCACGTAACCCAAATACTATGATACCCCTTTTTGCAAGATACCTTCTATTAAATCGCTTTAAAGGTGGATTACTGTTGGATACAGTATTGCCGAGGTCTCCCTGAAGACTCGAGAATAGAACAACAATTCAAATTAATGTTTATTACAGGCGTATTACAGGCGGCAACTACATCTAGACCAATGTCCAAATATCGACCAGTCCGAATGTACGCACTTGGTTTGAGGTCGCTATTATCTGCCTCAGATGAATACTACTATAATTTATCGATATAATTCGGATATACTTTCACATATTAGCAAAAAGATACTTCATTCCTTCCCATACCTCGATACCAGTTGGAAGGATTTGATTGGCGGGTAACGTGAATCCGTTTCGGCCAGTATCACGGAGTTCGATGGCCCACCTTGGGTTCAGGTTAGTAATTTAGGTACACGCTCAGACGGGATTCTACCCTATATAACAGGTAGCTTGACTTACCCAAACTCGGCCTTGTTGACGTCAGTCACATAATCGTTGCTACCGCCGGCGGCGGCATAGAGCGTAGAGCAGATGGGACCGGTAGTGAATTGAGTCCCGTAGGGCTTCGCGATAGCGGAAGCAGTATCTTTAGCCAGCGAGTCTTGCTTGGCCTGGTTTGAAGCCGCTGCTGAGCATGAGTAACCATACGGCCTGCAAAGTTCACGTCAGCTCCCAGAATTACAATAGGGCTGCAGGTATCTAAACCCAGTAAGGAGGATTGATCGAAGCTATACTGACGTCAGGATATATTGTCCGTAGCTGTGCCAATCGATGTACAGCTTAATGCCGTTCTTTTTCGCTAGTTGGTCACTCAAGGCTATGAAGAGATAAGTCAGATGCCTTCAGGTTGACATAAATGTAGAATCTTACTTCGGATACCAGTGTTCTCTGGCGTATCGCCTGCTGCAACGCCGCGGTACCTATAACTCAATTAATATATATGCCCTTTCACTTATGATATCCTTCATTTCGTGGGCAACAATTAGGCTCGGAGAGCCATCTTGTAGGATTCTTAAGGCAAACTTTATATTCGACTAGGTACTCACGTTTCTAGAACATGATCAGCAAACGATGCATTTGATTCATGGGAGAATCAAAACGAGCAGGGAAAAGAGGGGAGGGGGATGAGATTGACTCACCCGACCCGGGGCTCGTAGAAGACCCCTCTCCATCCCATTTATAAGGCCAGTTCCGGTTGACATCCGTGCCAACGGCAGAGGTGCCGGATCGAGTCTGGCGATTCTTCCGCCACAACCGGTTCGTAGTTTGTGTGTAAAGGAAACCTAGTATAAATTAGTATACATTAGTATAAATGAGCTAATATTTAAGATGATCAGAAAATTTACCGTCGGGGTTGACGATAGGCAAGATATAGAAGTCGTAACTATCGAGAAAGCCCTTGACCGTCGTGTCATTGTTGTAGTTAGCAACAAGTTGGTACGTGAGATATTCGACTGTCTAATATCAAATGTTAGTAACATATAGCTAACTCGGCGGAGATTTTGGACATATAGTCACCTTCGAGGAAATCCATTCGCGAGCGTGGACATTGCCATGGAAATAGACAGCGGGTTTCGAGTCCTTGCCGCCGCTTCCCCAGAGGTGAATGCCCTGAATATCGCGGCCCTCAAATGATTTCCCGGCCGTTATAAGCTCCGAGTTAGAGGAGAAAGATGACTGTATATCTTTCAAAAACGTCAAGTGGTCATTATAAGCATGGTACGCATTGAACCACGAAAGGCTCGGAAGAGCAGCCGCGCTCAGTCCTAGGTACCATTGGAATCAGCCCGCGTACTTATAATTCTCTTTCAATCAATCCAACGTACCGGGATACTCAGCAAACTCCCCTTCGAGCGCTATGTCGACTCCGAGATCATCAGTCAACACCTCGGAGGTGAGATTCAACCCCTCGAACGCCGAAAGATTCTCAGGCGGCACTGCGATATCGAAATGCTCCTCCTCTACATGACCATGGTTGTGGGTAAGGTCAATAGCCTCCAGAGATTCTAATTGGGCTTCGAAAGCTGCAATATTATCCCCTGGTGCCACGCGAAAGATCTTATAGCCGTCATATATAACTTTACCCCGCCTGTCCAGTCGCAAGGCGGCGGTCAAGGGCGCGGCCAACAAAAGAGGTTGGAGGAATTTCATGATGAACAATTACGAGTTAAGGGGCGCAACCTTTCGATAAAATTTTGGAGGGTGAACCGGACAGTACACTTTATATTTCAAGCTTTCGTAATAGCAGCTCTTCGTAATGACGCCCTGAAGTCTACAGTGACAGCATTACAATGGATGAGCTTTGCATCTGCCCGATCGGGCAGGTCGTACCTCGCATGGGCGACGTAGATCTAGAACGATAAACTTTAGCCTAGCTCGTATGAGCAATGGATGTGCACGCTTGGCAGTTAGTTATAGAAGGTCGTAAGATCATTTGCGCAAGAAATACGGGAAACGAAGAGAATCCCAAGCAGGGAATGTCCCTCGAGTTGCGTCCAGCCAATTTAGCCAGCCGAAGCATAGCACCAGAGGGTCGAGTAGACCAGCTTCTTCAATCTCAAATCTCAAACTATTGGCTAGAAGTCTGATGGTGTTGTTTATCAGGCTTCACGCCAAGCCACATATATGACTTCGTTCTCATTAACCGTTGCATGCATTGCATGATGGACCCGAACTTCCTCATCTGAGATCTCTTAGCACTTCTGTTCCCCACATGAAGATGAGGTTACCACTATCCCTACCTTTTTTATTAAGGATCCATTTAGATAGATAGCTTCCTTAAAGATATCACGTCATGGAGGCGTGCAAAAAGAGACCTGCTACATAACGTGTAATGAGAGAATAATATCACGTAATTATATTATGGCTAACCTACCTACCTAATCCAGGGGTTGGCGCCGTAGCCCGTTAGCATTATACACCTTCGTTGTTTAGTATTTCAATCCGACATAATGTGATGCCGTAACAACTTGACCTTTACATGACCACCATCGAGTCATATTGTTATCCCACGTACGCAGGTACGCAGATACGCATGCATGTAATTCTCCGCCACATAAGCTGAGAAACACATATAGCTTATGTATGGCTATGTACCCTTATTAGAAAGCTCTTGTCTAGATAGGATGGTAAAAAGCTTTACTCGATATAAGCCTGGCTGGTATGTTTCAACTTAGGAGATAACCATATATTAAAGAAGCACTTGCTACAATATAGTTATGTGGAGATTAGGTTTGTAGTTTCACGGTTGCGTAATAACACACTCTATGCCATAGCTTACCATCGTAGTATATGTAGGTAGGTTCTCGCCCAAAAGTATGTGCAGCTTCTTTGATGTAATACAATCCTTACCTTAGGTCAAATATGCAAGATACTAGGTGCATCCATTGATAGCTCATCGTGGGGTGAATTGCGTTAATAGAGAATCTTATATCTTAGAATATCATGATTGTATACTTGACATGGTGACGTTACACTTAATAGTAGGTTCATAGACCCATAAGACTTGGTTGCTCTAGATTAGTTCTCTCATATAAATTTGGTACAGTTGAATTGAGCCTTAACGAATTGTATACACAAGCTAGAACCTCAAAGATAAAGATGAACTAGTATATATGGAATGGCTGCCTCGTTTGCTATCATGTATGTCAACGAGTTTGATGATAATAACTTTCTTAAAACCGTAAACATATGGGGCATTATAAGTAGGTACCTAACGTTACCTATAACAAAATATTAGGATAAGTTCTAGATACCTAGGTAGGTTTTTGTTCTGGCTTGTGTCTATCTACCTCCCACGTAGTAGTCGTACATAGGTAGTTACCGCCTTATTAAAGCACATATTAGTTACTTCAAGGCAACACGAATATAACTATCCTCTTACTGGGGACAAATATGTTTGACAGGATTTAATGGATATTGGTAACTCGACGAAGACTTGGCGGCCAGGTATATAACGTGAAAGACATGGCGTTTAAGGACTCGCAATAACGGGATCGTGAATACTATGGCTATTATTGGTAGAGAGGGGTGGAATCAATTCGAATACGATACTCATATATGCCTGAGATTGATCTCTCCTTCTATGAACATAGGTCCTGGAGTCGTTATCGGGCTCACCTTCTAACGTACCGGGCAGACGCGTCTCTGGTTAATCCCGCAAGTAAGATTCATTCCTCTCTATCAGATAGGCTCTATCATCAAGTTGCTTCCCACCACGTTGGATGTTGTCATCGTAATCTCAAGCATCTTCGTCTCGGTTGATGGTATCTTAGGGGAGCTTGACATTGAGTTCGATGGCTCCGTTGGAACCGGGTTCTTTTTCTTTGCCTAGGGAGCATCCCTTACCCTGGCGCAAATCAGAGATCTCATCGATGCTCTTGGCAATCGCAACTAGGCTACCTGTGGATCTATTCCCGCTCACTCTGTGTGTAGCAATTGGATTTGGATTTGCATATAATGGCATTGGAAAGTAAAGCGCTATTTTCCTGGTGATATAATATGAATCGGGAGGTGGACGATAAGGTATATAAATACATGGAGAAATACATGGGAAGGGGAATGATTGATAGTTGTATTAGGGGTATGGATTTGATACATCTTAGGTCCCTGAGGAAGACATTTCTAAGAAGAGCGATATTATCATTTTAGTAATATGACCGTAGAACGCCGTCCTAAGTAATGTATGAAGTACCCAGGTAGGTATGCAGCGTTAAGTCGAAATCAGCATTGGTTTAGGATATTTATCTGGTTGGACAAGGTCGAGTTGTTTCGCAGGGTATTTGAGGTAATCCTGATATACATATTTACAACCACGGAATATATCCCTACCCTGCTATGAGTGCATGGGCAGCTCATTCATTCGTACGAGAAGCTACCTTAGGTACATGTAAGTAAATACTATAAATATAAATTGACCAATAACAATGTTATGCTATTAGAATATTGTTTACCTCTTACCTATAAGAAACAACCGATTGAAACTTTCGAGATTAGAAAAGGAAGTATAAACGATTATTGATCCCGGTGACGATCATTGTATCTGTGTCAGGCTTTGTTTCATTGATTCAGCTTAACCCCGAGGCGAGAGGCGAGGGTACCGTATGTATAGTCTGACAGCATATGTACATTGTTCCTTTCTGTGACCCTGCATAAACCTCCTACCAATGTTTAAACATGCAATGCCGCCACCGATATCTTGACCCAAGCTTCGTGGCGCTAAGAGAAACGTGAGCTCGCCAAAGGCTCGTAGGGAGTCGCTATGAAACTTGACAGAACCCCCTCATTTTAAAATAGGGAGTTGGTTATTATCTCCTTGATGAGGTTCTCTCTTTGCGACGCCGACAGGTTCGGGTGTAATAGTAAGCTCACGATGCCGCATTTAGTATTTATAATCGCTTTGTGCCCGGCGACTCTACACGATGTTGTTACCCTCACCATCTGTCATAACATCGTCAGGTCTTGGGCAGGTTCTTAACATTCACTCTTTATCTCTTTTATATTCGTCACTCATTCCTGCTGCGCGGGCTTTTTCATTCTTACTATACTATCGTTCGAGCTCTCGAACGTATATTTGCGGGAACTGTTCTGTTCTTATTTCAAGGAAACAAGATTGAAGAGCCGTTATCAAACTCCCGTGTTGGGACTGTCAGTAACAATGTATTCATTCATCTTCGCCTTTCTCAGCTTGCAATCGTGCGTGGTTGCGTCGCCTATCGCGTCTCTAGGCTTGCTTCGAAAGACGGTGACGGAACTCGACCAGGCGGCATTTGAAGAGGCGCAGCAGCCGGATAACACGGCGACGAGGGCCTTTTCAGGAACGCAGATACGGGTAAGACAGCTCTGGATGATAAACAGCGCCTTTTCTTCTTCTTTTTTTCTTTTTTAACGAGATATATATTATAGACCTCTGATGGGCGATGCTTGTTCGTTGACGAGCTGTCTGGAGATTTTCGGGCAAACCTCACTCCGATACAAGTGGCCGAATGTGACACCACAGACGGCCAGGGATGGGACGTTATTACCGCGGGAAAGCATAACAATGCTGAGAATTCGATGCTTATTGTTAGCACCTTGGTTAGTACTTCATCTTACATCTTGCTCGAGATACTACTTTAGATATATATATATATTGATAAGTCTCAAGACGAATGCCTGTTTCAACTTCGATCCGCGACGTGCGGGTGGCAACCAAGTCATTCTTTTTAGCTGCGGTGGACGGGCAGACGGTGGCGGCGAAGTTACAGACTCCCAGCTCTTCCCTTTCAACGGCAGCAATGGACCTCTCACGTTCTCACCTCAGAATGACCTACAGTCGTGCTTCACCGTCAAGGGTAACGTCATCGACGTAGCCCCCTGTGTCGCTGGGAGTTCCGACCAACAATTTACATTTGGCAATGCACCAGCAGCTGTTAGTAGCGCATCGAGCGGAACAGATGTCTCATCCACGCCAACTATCCCTCAGGTGACTGCTACATCTACCGCCACTGCTACTACCGTACAGAATCCGAGTCAGGGGTCGACAACATCTGTCTCGGATGCTACCGGAGCAATTCCTAATCCTACTGAGGCTGTACCCGTATCTCGTGCCGGTGGTGTGTTACAACCCACCGCGGTAGCCGAGTCTCATCAGCGGGACGGCACAGCGACGCGTGCTTTCACTTCCGTCAGCATAAAGGCACCAAACGGCCAATGTCTCTTCATCGACCCAACTGCTGGTGACTTTCGTGAGAACCTCATCCCGGTCTCGTTAGTGCAGTGTGGTGGGACGCCCAACGAAAAGTTCGACATCATCACGGCTGGGAAACACAACAACGCCCAAGATTCGGCTTTAATAGTGAGCAGCTTGGTAAGTTAAACCGGTTTCGCTATTAATAATCGTTAGTTAATTCTGACATCGCTCTAGACGAACGGTTGCATTAGCTTCGATGGACGACGCCCAGCCGGCGATACAGTAACGATTTTCTCGTGCGGAGGGCGAGCAGCTGGAGGTACGTAACTGTTCCTCTCTCTTGACGCTACAGAGCGTTCTGATGCTAATACTGTACTAGAGGGCGAGACGAACAATGGCCAGCTGGTGCCATTTACGGGGGAGACAAATTTCGTCTTCGCGCCAGAGAGCGAACGAAATGCAACATGCATCGTGCCGGGCAGCGGTAGGCTTGATTCTGCCCCTTGTGCCGGCGATGGCTCTCAAGTCTTTACTATTCTAGCGTAGGGGATGTTTCTGGCAACAAAACTATCGACATTTCATGCAGTGGGAAATGATTGACATGGACCCCTTTCCTAATTAATTTAATTCATCAATCAATACTACCTGATTAATTCGATATGTTTAACCGTACTCCTTGTATTGTGTGAAAGCTTTGAATTCGCCGGTTTCAATGTCGAGGGAGATACTTACATATCGCTATAGTACTATGTCTACTATGTATTGCGATACAGATTAACACACCCATTACCAGCGACGGACCGTTTCAAACAGACTTTCTTTGACTAGCCACTCCTCCAGGGTCAGCATTTGAGGATGATCCTTGCGTCGAGCTATAGAATCTGCCTTATAGCCATCGCTGGCGAACCATCCAATCATCAGGGCCATCTCGGTGACCATGTATGTCAGCACGCTCCCGAGAAACCAGTAGCTCACCGGTACGGGGGCTCCCGTCGCCTTGGTGAATGAGGCATTAAGCTGCTCCCATGATAACTCGTCGCCTGCGAGGCCAACGGCCCTCCGGTTCCAGCGCTCGGGGTCAGCAAACGCCTTGGCAGCAAAGACGCCAATATCCGACGTGGCGATCCATTGCATACGTTTATTTCCCAAATGATTATGTAGCGCGGTCATGAAAACCCTGGTTGGAAACCCGGGTGCTAGATTATCCATGAAAGCTACCGGACGTAGGATCGTCCAACCCATACTTGCGCCCGGTTTTCCCGGGCCGGTGGCGTTTCGAAGATGCTGCTCGATACGATACTTGCTCTGGAAGTGAGGTATGGGGGTCGGATTGTCCCACGATGCTTCGTCTCCGCCACGCTCTACGCTGCTGTAAACGAAATGTCTGATACCGGCCTTGATAGACTCGTCAATGAGAGCCTTGCCTTGTGCAACTTCACCCTCGAGGGTCACCCCCTTTCCCATAGAGATCTGGACAGAGTAGACACCCCATATAGGTTGGGGATATATCTTTCGAGCTTCGTAGAATAAGCTGGGGACGTTACCAAGATTACCCTGCACGAGTTTGATCGAGGGTGATTTCTGGGCAAGAGTCTTGGCACTGATGCTGTTGACGTCGCGTGTGACGGCGAGAATGGTGAATTTGCTAGGGTCCCGGTCGAGAAGTGCAGTTATCACAGCACCACCCTGCTTTCCTGTAGCACCTGTAATGAGAAGGACTTTTGACATGCTGGGCTATTGGCTGGATCTAATCGATGATGCGTCAGTTGTGCGGCAGTTGTGCGGAGGAGGTCAGCAGCCACAGCATGCGATGCGACTATTTAGATCGTCAAATAGAGGAGTCGCGTTCACATACGTCGGCATATCAGAGTTTAGTCTGACCAACCCCCCTTTCGGTGTATGCACCTTGGTAGGGGGTATGATGCCGCGTCAAACCTTTCGGCGCCCGAAGCTGTCAGCGTCCGTTTCAAACCTACGCGGAACGCTTCGTGGCATAAAGCACGACGCAGCCTTCTTTGGGGACTTGCGGAAATTTTCAAGGATTTATTTAGGTCCCTCCCGTCCGATGTCCTGCATGCCCTGCCAGTCTCGCTTGATGAACAAAACCGTTGTCCACCACCTTATGGGCGGCAGCAACTTACCACCTAGACTTCTACTACGCTAGAAGAATACACCTTTTCGGTCGTCATTATGGACGAGGCCCAGACTCGGCGGCGCAACACGGTTAATGCGCTACTAGATGGCTACGGGAGCCTCTCGGTTCCGCAGCTTCTCATGTCAACAACGCCTGACTTTTACCATCAGGTATTACCAGAAAGCTTAGGCATGATGCCCCGAAATAGGGAGGCGTTCGCCCAACACGCCGCCGGCATCTTCAACGTATTCGACGAATTCAGAATGGTCCCGAAGTCAATCGTCGATGACGGACCAGGAAACATGGCGGTAGTCCACGCACGAATGCAGGGAATACTAAAGGGGGGAGCTGGCGAGTGGATAAACGAATGCGTAATGATGATCCAGCTATCCCCCGACGGCACTCGTGTTTCTAGGGTGACAGAGTTTGTGGATAGCGCAAAGGCTTTAGAGATGGCCCGGAAACACGCACCGGATAACTTTGACGTGAACTACTCAAAGCTAGACGGCGGTATGAGGACGGAGAAAGGGGACAGGAACGAAACGACGAGCTCTAAATCGATGACACTGCTATTTGGGTTGGGACTAGCACAGGTTATCATGGTAATCATTTTGTTGTATCTGGGTCGGAGGGCCATCTTTTGAGTTTCTAATGGGAGTTTGAGTCGACTTTATTTCTAGGTTCTCATAATAACAATATTTGCTACACATTTAAGACTTATCCATGCACCTAAATTCGCATTGCCGAAATTACGTATAAGTTTAGATTAGGTGTAATGAGTGATTTACCCCTTACCCCTTATACTGTGAGAAGCGTATTATGAGGACTGTGTATAGATAGGTACTAGTACCTTGGTGATCGCTATGCAAAAGCTACAGATTTTACATTTAATTATTATTAAGGACTACAAAACGGAACTACGTGTCGAATATTAACCGAATAGTTTTAACCAAATTTTAACAAACTTAACAATTCTCGATTGCCTCTCCGCTCAAGCTTTCGTGGCCGAGAAACGGCCATTTTAAATAACATGTGATACAAAGGCGGAAATAGGGGCTAAAAGAAGGTGTAGGAGAAGCGTCTACGTAAGTAAATTTCTAAGTTATACGACCATGTACCGGGACCAACAATCCAGACAAGACGACAAGACAACCCATTCCTAGACGTTATGGGACTGAAGAGTACCCGCGCCCTTGCCCATATTTTAATGTAGTTTCAACAACTCGAAGAGAGCCAGCGATCCAGCAACGACGGGCGTGATGAGGCGCACGGTGTTGAATTTGATCCATTTCCGAGCGTAACTCTCGGCCTGCTTGGGGTCAACCTTGCCCTTAGGCTCACGTAGGGCGTCGATTTTCTGGTTGATAGGTTGCATGTTGATCGCGGAATGGACAACGGTGATGAGATGGCACAGCGCTGATACTGCGTACGGTCGCCAGTCACCAAGTCTACCATCCGGCCCCTGCGAAGAGGCTACCCATGATGTATAGGCGTAGCCAAAGATGCCGAGCGTGCTAATCGGCCTAAAGAATTGATTTCCCACAACCCAAAATACGGGCCACTGCCGACCAAGCAATCGCGCGCGGGCTGCATGCTCGGGCGACGATGGCGGCGGGAAGTCGACTAGCAAAGCGGGAACACCCATGAATGACTGCGTGATGGCATTTCCTATACGAGTGTCAGGACGGTTAGCACTAATATAATTGCCTGACTTGTGATTCATTCTAGGTATACTGACCGAAGAGGATAAAGGAAAACGCAACAGTAGTTCCAAGAACGGCCTCGGGGGGTACAGCCATATTAGTTGATAATGGCGGCTTTATTTCTAATTATATCTTATTTATTGATTGTAATGACCACGAAAAGGATGCTCACGACTTGATCGACTTGATCGACTTGATCGACTTGATCGACTTGATTCTTAGAACAAGACTTTGAATCATCCCTCGTCGAATCTAATATAGATTTATTTATTGTAATGCTTTACGTCGTTGTCCGTGCCGAGGCTCTACAGTCGTCAGTATCTGCTCGTTAAGCGGGACATGGTAAGACGGAGCTTGTCGTTTGTCATTCGATCCGATGAATCCGCCCGGTCTCAGGTGGCTTAGGTGGTATGATATCGAAACACCTTTTAGACAAGTTGGATCTACGGGTCAGATATTGGGGAAGCTTTTTAAGGGATCATTAGTCGAAGGTATTTGTGTGCTTAAAGGCTAGCAAAAAACATGCATGTTATAGTTGAAGCGTAAAACGCCTATAAAGGGATCCCAGATAATGGCGGGGGGTTACAATGCTTACCGTTGCACAAGGTTTGTTTGATCAGTACCGACAAACGTTATAAACTCTTACAAGTACCTTATGTAACGTTGGGACACCGAAGCTTGCGTTAGGCGACACGTCAATTTCTGACGGCATACGGTACTACCGCCATGCCGCCGGCGCCGGATTACGAATTATAACCCGTAACCTTTACTCGACCGAGATAACATCGGACATAGTAGTTACCGTGGCTCCGTCTACACTCCTATGCTCTTATCTCAAAGGCCGACAGACGGAATTTATAACCACATTGCTGGCTTTAATCTTCAATGCAAGTAAATGGACTTATTATACCTAATGTATATTCCGCATGAAATTGTTGCGCTGTATGTAAAGCCTTCCACCCCTTTTCTCCCCCCTTTTTAATAGCTTTACAGGTGTTAGCAGTTAAGGCTATCATTTTTTAGTTTCTAGTTTTTATCAAGTAAACTTCTATAAATCATTTGCCTAAAAAAATGATGCGATAGTTTTATAAAAAGTAATAAGTCAAGATGAAATAGTAAACTTGGGTTTCAACATTAAGCAAGTTTAATACATATAAGTTAGATAGATTCAATGTTATGTAACGACCGTAAACCCAGCCGTCTAAATCCAACCCTCGATGATACACGCCCGCCATTCTTCTCTCATGCAATCTATACCACTTATACATCTTGTAGTTGCATCCTATACAACTTCTATGTTTTGGTTCTTCTTCTCGGCGGCTTTGAGGAACTCTTCCTTTTCTTGCCGATACTTCGCCTCAGACTCGGCCCATAGCCTAAGCGCCTCCTCCTTTCGGGCCTCGCTCCTAGGCTCGAAAGCCATCTGGAAAGAATTCGGCTTGATGATCAGCAGAGAGTTGGATTTGTCGTGAGGAACTGCAATCTCCTGGCCCGTGACCGGATCCTTCTTCGCCTTAAGGTTGAAACACCAGCTGAGTGCGCCGCAAGCCACTATAAGTTCGTCTTGCGTGAGCGACTGTCCGAGACACTGACGCTGCCCCCAACCGAATGACGTCATGCCTTTAATAGTAGGATACGTGGTAAGCGGCTCCTGATACGTCGGCCATCCCGGCTCTAACCAGCGCTCGGGTCGGAAGTTATCCGGGTCAGGATACTTTTCTGGATCTCGAAGGAATGCCCTGCCGACTTTTAGTATTTGATATAATAAGACTATATATATATATAACGGGCTGGGGGGATGTTAATCTCACTTACCAGTCTAACGGAAGTATTCTTGTTCCTTTGGGGAGAAAGTAACCGCGAAATTCATCGTCGGCCTCCATCTCGTGCGCGACGCCTAGCATTAGTGTGTTAGTTGCTTTCTTCTATTCACCCCTACGTTCTACCGCTAACTAACCTGTAGGAACGTTTGGTTTCCATCTCATCGTTTCCTTGATGCAAGCTCGGAGGATTGGAAGCTTAGGCGCGTCGTCGAGAGTTGGTACCCGCCCCTCGCAGGCCTCGTCAACTTCCTTCTGCACGGCCGCTTGCCACTTTGGATGGTGTATCATTGACACTAAGAAGTACGACAAGGGGCCGACTACGGTGAAGATGCCGACGAGAGCCATCATCCCTATAACGCAAGAAGCTTCATAGTCGCCAGAGATATTTGAGCGCTTCTCTCCCCTTTCGAGGTATTGGCTGGTGAAGCAGGCCCTCTGTCGTCCTCGCTCCAGTGCGTCGCGCGTGTTCATCAGGCGTTCCATCCACCACTCCTGCTGTTCGTCGTGTCGCTTTTGTTCGGCGATCTTCCAGGGGTTTATCATCTTGGGTAGATGCCAAAGGGGGGTTATGACGTTCGTGATGGGTCCAGCCGGCGACATCTGGGTTAGAAGGCCCCATGCGCTCTTTGTGCAGGCTTCGCTGAGATCCGTATCGTCCCAAGCTAACTGACACATAATCTTGGATGACATATCCTCCAAGGAGAATTCGAAGTCATCAGGGTTCTCGATCAACCGGGCAAGCCAGCGTTTAGACTCATGGTACATGACACCATAGTAGTGAGCGTTGCTCGCTTCTGTCAGGTACGAATGGGTGAATTTACGTTGCCGAGACCAGTACTCTAACCCACGTCTTATTTAGTAATGACATTTGCTAGTTAATCTGTTGGTCACTTACGGTTCTTTCCCATCAGGGGGAGATACTCCATCGATCCATGCGTGCTCTTCGAATCGAATAGAGACCTTACCATGGGTCTGTCCGAGTTATATTTCGCGCGCTTCACCAAGAGCTCCTCGGCTACCTTCTCTTTCGTGACAATTAAGAATTTTGCCCCGAGCATCTCAGTGAAGTAGAAGCCATCCGTACCGCTATACAGGTCGGCCCATTCCTTGAACTTCAGCCACATATACTGGATCGGAAGATCGTGTATACGACCGATATATGGTATCAAGGTCGGACCGGGTATCTTACGCGGGTGGTTAATCTCTCTGAATAACTTAATCAAGTGGAAGGCTACCACGCCGACGAGGGCGGCGCAGAGGATTGCCGGCGTAAACAGTTGCATGATCAACCACTGGGTAGAGAAAAAAGGTCTTTCGTACGAGTATAGCAGGAATGTAAACTGAAGAAGGGCTGCGGAACGGAGTGACCAGAACACTTCCCGGACAAGACGTATTCGCAGGGCTTTCACACGATTTAAACTATATACCATAGGCACTAAGCGACCCAATGATAGAATCTACTTGTAGTAATTACCCTCGATGGTGTTGAGCGGCGAGGGTCGACCGGCCTCCAAGGGAGATGGTGTGATGTATCGATTCTTAACCGGGTATCCCCTACTCAGGCTTACATCAAAGTATGACCGGGCATCATCTACTATCGTATCCAGTTATGCTTATGAAATTATGCATTTTAAAGTTTACATCCTTCTAGAAATAAGGTACTTCCAGGAATAGCCTCAAGTATTAAAAGTCCGAAACATTCCATACAAAATAGCCAAGGATCTTCAAGGGTCTATTGCCCGATTTTGTCGTGGCAACAATGAGATCGCAGGGCGAACATCGATAGGCCGGAAAGCCACTTGCATATGTCGTAGAATATCGCCCAAAACAGTCAAGTCCGGCCAACAAAGTCCGGACAACCTCCGTTTATATGTAAAATCGAAATGCCAGGTGACGGGGCTAAGCCATGATTATGGCGATGCCGATGCTGCCGATGCTGCCGATGCTGCCGATGCTGCCGCTTCGGTATTATTGTGGAATAGCAATATACCCAATATATCGCGGGCTAAGAGGCTAAAATTTTATTAATAAATCCTTAAATCGATAGACACTGAAGTGAAGTACTTGTGCTCACTAGGATAGTTCCTAGTTTACAGTTCATAGTTCACGCGTAAATAGTTATGATAATAGGTATGAAAAAACCCGCGTGTTTGTGCCTTGCTGCCGAGATTCGAATATCAGTTGCATATGTTGTTGGCTGGAGTGGACCGTCTGTATGCATGCGTATGGCTGAACTATCAGCGCTGCACATCTTCTCGCGTACGGTATACATGTACATAAATTTGTAGGCGCATACGCATACATACATGTATGCACGAGGTGCCGGGCCATAACATCCTGATGGTGTTGAGAAGTCGATAGGGTAGACCAAGCGACGACTGCGATGGTTGATGATCCAATCAAGACTTCGTAGCGTAACTTTAAGGTCGACACGACTCAGCCCATTAATAACATAAAAGACGTTTTATGTTCCATTGCGGTGGGCGCACGTCGTGGAACCAGCCCATCGACGGGTCGACGGGTCGCCACAATGTATGTACCGCCTCCCTTGGCCCGACGATCTGAATAAGACTACCTAGCATGTTGGCTTTTAAACTATAATCAGCTGCACACATGTCGGTCTCAGTTCCATGGTAGTTATCTAATATCTAATATATCCATTAGCGGTATCATGTTTACTTTTATAACTCCTATAAGTAACATGTTTTCTTACGATTAGTGCCGACGGGGCCTTTAACGCGTATACAGACGCGTAGGATATTACCTAGGTAAGCATGTCCGCTGCGGTTATGATTATACTGGTATACGTCGAGGTAAAATGAGCCAATGACGTGTCTAGGCACATTGCGTTTGGGTGGTCAGGAATACACTTCGGGTCCGAAAAGGATCAAGGGTCGGCACTTTGTAGGACACTTCAACCTCCGCGACGACGGTAGACTCTAGGTTAATGGCCGAGTAGCGCGAAAAAAAAAAGCAAGCTGAGGCTTCGTGGTAACACCCGCTGTTCCGGCATGTACAATTGTATGTACAATTTCTCTTCTAGTTTCCATATATTATATTCTTGATAGGGTAGCATCGTCACCGAAAGGACCTGGCCAAGTGGAAGCACTTGACGAAGAGGCACATTGCTCCTTTGATTCGATCACCGCTTATGCGTGCGCCTTTCTGAACTTCACTAGGTCTACGTTCAAGAGCTCAAGAGCAAGAGTCCAAGAGCAAAAGTCCAAGAGTCCAAGAGTCCAAGCCACATATTCACAAGATGGGTTCCCTTAATGATACCGACTGCAGGCCCGTAGGATCTTACCCGCCGTCGGGTATCGATGTCTTAATTGTTGGTACCGGGCTTGCGGGACTAACGGCGTCTATTGAATGCACGCGCAAGGGACACAACGTGCGCATTATTGAGCGCCATGATGATATTAATACCGCAGGTATGTAGCTGGACTTAGACGGGGGGGGGGGGGGGGGGGGGGGGGCGCCCCCGGCCGCGGGGGGCGGGGGGGCCGGCGGGGCAGCACGCGCGGGGGGGGCGGGCC